ACCCACCCCCCCATGGACATGTGGGTAGGGGGCACACATGCAATTTTCGAAGACATCCTTGTAGGAGAAAGAACATGGGTTTTTAAATAGAAAAAAAATCTATTTCTTTGAAAAGAAAGGTCACTTTTCACCACCTACCTGCTGTGTGAGCTTGGTGCTTTAGGGACCTTAGCTAAAAGTTCAGCGGGGACTTGATTCTCATTGCCCATTCCCTAGTATTTCAACAGGGAGGGAAGGGAGAGCGTTGGGCTGGGTTGAGCCCACCGGCCAGCTTGCTCCGCCCCTTCTCTGAGGCTGTTCTCTGGGCACAGAGAAGAGAGTTGTCTCTGTTCTCTCCTGGAGTGGTTACAGAGCAGCTCATGGCAGCAGAGGTGGTGACGATTACAGACCACCTCGTGTGTACGTTCCCTCTCCCTGTTATAACTTACGCAAACTGTGTCCTCATCCGATGTATCTCACATGTCTCGAGGAGTAAGTGGAGTGACCCATGGACAGCACTCCACACGTGAACAGCCTGGAGCCAGCACTCGGGGAGGGCTCACCCTGGTCCTGCCTGTTACTGCTCACACTCGAGGACCGTGTTTCCCAGAGTCTGTTCTCTCGGCCACCTGTCTCCAGATGAGGGAGACATTGCCACGTGTTGGTTAGGGCAACTCACTCTTGGGGGCCCAGTTTCCTCATCTATAGAATGGGGATGAGAATGAGAGCACCTCCTTCATGGGGTTGCTTCGAGGAAGGATGACGTGTACGTGGCCTTTTGTATCCTGGCAGAGAAGAAACTGTTGGTAGCTGCTGCCCATGTTGGTCATTATACCTGCCTGCATAAGACAGTTGGGAGCTTCATGAGTGTAGGTACATAGGTATGTGCAAAACACATCCTCACTTGGGATTGCAAACCAGCATATGCACACATCTCTCTCCATCAGGGTCACCCTCACTCCTTGACCCACAGTGCCACCCCCGTGGCTAAGTAACCCACATCAGAGTCGGGCAGAGTCCCTGTGAGACTTGGCTCGGGTCCAGACCCCGGGTCAGATGTCAGGGCCCTGCATTATTGAGCTCAGGAGCCTTTGTCTCCTCCTAGCTCCTGTCCCCAGTTCCTGTCCTCCTCTCTCCAGGCTCCAGCAGCAGAGGGAAAGGAGGAGGGGACATCTGCCCTGGCCCCCCACCCCATGGAGCAGGCAGCCACACCTGGGGGCCTAGGGCTGCCTTGTAGCCCCAAGCAGGCCTTGGCTCTGTACCAGCATCTCTTCCAGCGCCCTGCAGGCCTGGGCCAGCTCCGGGCTGCACTGCAGCAGGTGAGGGCAGCAGGGCACTGTCTCCAGCAGGGCAGGCTCTCTGTGGGGCCTGACTCCACCTTGCCTCTGCAGGTGCAAGAGGGCCGGGCCTGTCCCTCAGGCCTGGAGCTGCCCACCATGCTCCTGGAGATGGAGCGGAGCCGGTGGGCCCAGGAGCAGGTAGGTAGGGGCTGGCCAGGGAATATGGCAGAGGATGGGGTGGGGGTGGGGGGGTCCCCTCACGCCCTGACACCCCATCTTTTTGCAGCTCCTGTGGGACTTGGAGCTGCTGACCGGGGCAGGGCTTGGCCTCTTCTGGCCTCCTTGGGCCCAGTTCTGTGGTCCGAGGGACCAGGCCTCGTGTGCATGGAGTCAGTGCAGTAAGCCCTGTGGTAGGACAGGTGGGGGCTCTGAGCGGCTGACGAGAGGGGTGAGCAGGGGCATGGCTGAGGGTAGGGGGGTCGTGTGACATTTGGGTGATGGGAGTGGTGGGGGCAGTGGAAGGAGGGAGGGCTTTGGAGACAGATGGATCTGGGTTCAAGTCTCTGCTCTGACATTCCCTGTGGACTGTAAGTCTGTTTCCTCGGCTACAAAATGGGGTAGATAACAGCTTTCTCTCAGAAGGCTGCTGGGAGGACAGTGACCTCATACATGTAAAGGGTTTAGTGCCGTGCCCAGCCCACGGGACCTGCTCGTTCTGTGCAGGCTGCTGTTACCATTCCACAACTAACTCTATGGCCGAGTCAACTGCGTGGTGATATCTAGCAGCCTTTAGGCATGGCTGTAGCATGGGAAGAAGCAGGCCTGCAGGGTCCCAGGGGGCAGAGGCACTGATGCCCAGGGTGCCCCTGAGATGATACACTGAGCAGCTGCAGCCACAGGCCCCTCCCTCCAGGCCTGGTGGCTGGGCCCACTCCTCTAGGAAGGAGGGTGCTGTGGTGACTGGGGAATAGGAACATGCCTCCCAGTCCTGACTCAGCCACCAACTGCCTGAGGCACTTTGGGCAGGTTAGCAGCCCTCTCTGTGCCCAGGCATCCTCAGCTGTAGCAGGATGGGGTGTTGCTGATGACCACTAAGGAAGTGTCTGGCCAACATTGTTGGCCAGGACTGCAGTCTCATCTGAAGGCTTAAGTGGGAAGGAGGGATCCGTTTCTAAGCTCCTTCACTTGGAGGGGAAAAGGGGAGTCCCACAAGGGCATGGAGGCCAGGAGGAGGGAGCACTGGGGGCCCTCTTAGAGGCTGCCTATCACACTGGGAGATGATGCCCTGTGTTGGACTAGGGCACCCCCCAACCCTCCCAGAGTTCCAGGCTGTGCCCATCGCCCCAGGCTGGAGACTCCCTGAGCCAGAACCATGAGCTCCTGAAGGGGTGAGTCTTTCTCCCAGGGAATTCTGTCCACTCCGTGTTGCCACACAAAGTGACCACACACTGGACCCTTTTCCCTGTCTCCTTCCCCAGTCCTGCCCAGTGCCCCCTCTTCGTGCCCCAGGCTCCTCCTGGGGTTCTCACTCTGTTGCACTCACATGGTTGCCCCACAGCTCCTGGAAAGGGGAACCCCAGAGTTCCAGTTCCTGGGATGCAGTGGTGCAAGAGTTGGGGGAGGCTGCCCTGGACTGACTTTGGGTGTTGGGGTGGGAAGGCTCAGCAGCCTGTTGGGGGTGGGGAGACTGGCAGACAGACTGCCCCCACTTTCAGAGCCCAGACGCAAGAGGTGCATCTGAGGCAGCCCTTGCACTCCTGCAGGGGGCAGGCGGTGGACCCCTCATCAGCCCTGGATCTGGGTGAAGCTGGGAGTGACAGAGATCCAGGGTGGGAGAGCCCTGGCATGCCTGCAGACCCCACACCTGGTATGTTGACAGGAGGGGTCAGCAGCCAGGAGAGCAGGAGCCCCTGGGCTGGGGTGGCCAGACCCCACTGTGGGGAGATGGGGACGTCCCAGGGTTCCAGTCCACTCCTCGCTCATTCTTCATCTCCTACCTTTTCATTGGGTGCCAGGGGCATCCAGGGATGACAAGTAGGTTTTATTTTATATGCCAATTCCACCCGAGTGGTCCTAGCTGGCTCAGGCACTGTGTCCAGGAGGATTCTGAAGCTAAGCTGGGGCTCAGAGGAGAGTGTGCTGGGAACGGCTGTCCATGGCTGCCCACAGAGGAGGGAATAGAATAGCAGCTCCATGCTGCCTATTTGCCACCGTTATGCCAGGCATTGGGGATACGCAGAGCACAAGAGAGACCTGGCCCCACCACCTGGTCCTGCTCTAGGAGGAGATCACAGCCTAGTGAGAGAGCGTGACAACAAAGAGGCCGTTAGGATTCACGGGGGAGGGATGCTGAAAGCCTGGGGTCTGTTAATTTAAATGAAACAGACTCTCAAATGATTTGTTAAATAACAAACCTAGCAAAGCTATAAGCTTTTAATTGTTCCATCATGCATGTGAGAGAAGAGGAAAGTGCCAATGATTATTTTCTGATTGACAGAGAAATTTTTACACATATATTATCTCTTGGCAATACAGAGATATCAATCACAACATTATTTCTGGAGAAATAAATTATCTAGTAAGACAACAGATTGGAATTATGGGGGGAGAGAGATGGAGGCTATTTTCAGAGTTCATGGCAATAATTTCTAAAGGCTTGGGAGTCTTATTAGACCCCTTTGTTCAGAAACTCTTCAAAAGACATTTATTTTCACAGAGAACATTCCCATTTGGTTACTGTTATGAATATTCACGCGTTCATATTGCATAAAGATGGAATATTCTCATGAAAGTTCTCAATTTAAGACCTTATGAAATCAAGTTCTTTTAACTAGTTTTATGGATGCAGAATGACTCTCCTTCCTCCACAGCTGCAAGGGAGCAGCGACATTTCATCTCTTTTTTTAGATTCCTTTTGTTAATTATGAAGACTTGCAGTTTTTAGGCCAGGCTCTGGCCTAAAATTTCACTTCTTGAATTTCATTTGATTTTGCTGTCACTAAGAAAGAGCTAAAGAGAATTTTCCTGAATAATAGTAAAGTAAGGTACATACAATGGGCTGGCTGGGCCTACCAGAACAAAGTGGGGTGTCTTTATGAGGGACTGAGGAGCCCGGCAAACAGTCCCTTCCTGCTCCCAGGCATCCCCTGGTGGTTTTGAGGAAGAGGGTATGCAGGTTTCTCTGAGGTGGTCTGCCTGGGCTGGGAGGATGAGGAAGATGGGGTCAGCTGTCGGGAGGCAAACCTGACAAGCAGGCACACGGCAGGCTATGTAAATAAATGTGGAATGAGGAACCACGACAGCCTTGAAGTTCAATACCAGCCCTCAGGGCACCCCCTCCCCTTATGTGCTTGGGACTCCATAGGCTTCCTTCTTGGTTCCAGTTCAGGTGCAATGTGTGTGAGGGGCTGGGATGTGAGCAGAGGGCTCCCAACATCCGTCTTTCTCCCTCAGGTTGCTTACAAGAGCTGAACCCCACCATCACCAGCAGCTCTGGGGAACCAGGAAGCTCAGAGTTCAAGGTGACAGTGTTGAAGCATCCTAAGCAAGAACCCTCTCAGATTGGGGATGGCAGAGGTGGGGTCTGCCTGGGAGGAGGCTGCTGGGGTGAGGTGGGGCCACCTCCTGTAGCCAGGTGGAAGAAGGGACCATCGCTGAAGCACCTTTTACTCTACAGAACATGGGTTAACAAATTCAGGAATCAGGCAAGGTCTGTAATGGAAGTGAGGCCCACTGAGGCAGCCCCTGGGGTCTCCAGGCTCCCCTGGGGCAGTGGACCCAGAATGAGGTTTCCCTGACGAGCCTGAGACAACATGTTCCTCCTTCCCAGGACCTGGCCCGAAGGGAAGAGAGGGGCCAAGCTGAGCCTACCACCCAGAGGCCCTGTCAACTGCCATCCAGGAGCCAAAGGGGGAGAAAGCTCACTCAGGGAGCCCCAGGGCCCTCAGGCCTGCCCTCTCAGAGCCTGCCCGAACCCCAAGATCCTCCTGAGGGGCTAGGCTGGAGTCTGGGCCAGGAGAGAGCAGAACTTCAGAAACTGCTGAGGATTGAGATTCCTCAGAGTGAGAGAGAGGAGGACCCTCAGGAACAGAAAGAAGAGACCCCCCAGGGTCAGAAAGGGGAAGCGCCTCCGGGGGAGAACAAAGAAGTTCCTCGGAGTCAGAGAGAGAAGACACACCAGGGTCAGAGTGGGGAGCTGTCTCAGGTTCTGAGGGTGGAGGTCTCAGAGGGTCAGAGGTGGGAGGCCCCCCAGGGTGAGAACAAAGAGGCTTCTCAAGGTCAAAGAGGAAATCACCCTAAGTGCCAGAGAAACGGGGCCCTTGTGGAGCCGACTAAGGAGACTCCTCAGGGCCGGGAAGCAAAGATCCTTCAGTCTGCCGAGGACGGAGGCCTTACCTCACAAGGCTGGGAGGGGGCTCAGAGAAAGGCATCCACACAACCCCGGGAGGAAGGCGACTCCCTGGGAGTTCCGGGGGACTTCTGCAGGTCCCTGGGGGAACAGATGCCAAAGCCTGGGGAAAGGGAGAGGCCAGGCTCCCGGGGAAGGAGCGCCCAGCTGATGCAGCGTAAGACCAACGGCCAGAGACCAGAGTCGGCACCGGCCGCGGGAGAGCAGAGGGCCGCCAGGGACGGGGCGCGGGCTCCCCTTCCATCCCTGAGGCCCCCGGCCCGGCCGCTGCCCCCAGGCCCAGGAGCCGTGATGCTAGCGGCCCCCGGCCCCGGGGGCCCTGATCAGCAGGAGCGCGATCCGCACGGGTTGCAGCACCCGGGAGGAGGCCGCGGCCCGGCGGCGCAGGAGCTGGGCGAGGCGAGGGGGCTGCCGGCGGGCGGCTGCGCGGGGCTGTCGGGCGCCCCTGGGGAGCGGAGGAGCGGCGAAGAGGCCCCCAAGGCCTCGAAGGCTGCGTGGCCCGCGCCCCCGGGCAGGGAGCAGGCGGCGGCGAGCGTGAGCGCCGCGCAGCAGGAGACTGCTCTGCAGCGCCTGCTGGAGCTGCACCGCGAGGCCCGGCGCCGGCGACGGCAGGACCGCGAGCAGCAGCACCTCCGGGTGCGTCCCCGGGCCGGGCGGGCCCGCTGGAAGCCGGGGCGCCGAGGGGCGGGCGACGGGCCGGCCACTGACCGCCGCCTCCCTCAGGTCCTGGAGCGCCTCCGCATCGCCAGGAACCGCCACTGCCGGGTTCACCCGCTGGGGCCTCCACCCAGCCCGGCTCCGCTCCTGCCGCAGGCAAGACCTCCCGGGGGAAGGCGCTGGGGCCACAACCAGCTTGCCCCGGCGGGGGCGGGGCCGAGCTGGGGGCGACCCGGGTCCCTTTGAAGTGGGTGCCCCGCGCACCTGCTACGACACCTAAGGAGCGCAGGAGGGGCGGGTCTGCCCGGGTGCCGCCCCTTGGTGGCTCCAGCGAGCCGGGGGGCTGGGAGGTGAGGGCGCTCAGCGCCCGGCACCGCCCCAGGAGGACGCAGCGGGGCAGCGGCGCGCCCTTCGGGAGCAGCTGGAACAGGTGCACCGGGAGAGGACCGGGCGACTGCGGGCCCTCAGGGCCAGGTGAGGGGGTGGGCCGAGGGGTTTGTGGGGCGGTGGTGGTCCTCTTTCTTTGGCGTCTGGGATGACAGGCTACTTTCTCCCCAGGAACACCCAGAACTTCCAGCAGCTACTGTGGTCCCCTGGCGCTGAGGAGCCTGCCCCTGGAGAGTCGCGCTCACCCTTCCCCGCCCCCTCTAGCCATTGCTGAATCCTCAAGGGGATGATTAAAGAGATGGCGGTTAAGGAAATAGCAAAAGGAAACCTGCAGGTCAGCAAGTGCCGTGGGTGGTGGTTTCAGAAAGGCCCATAATGCAGCCTCAGGGCCTGGGAGAGCCGCAGACACACAGACACACAGACACACACACAGCAGCTTCGCCCCACCAGGAGGCGTCGTATTTCCTCTTCCCTCCCCTAAGCCCACTGTCTGGCCCAAGGTCAGAGGGCTAGGTCCCGGGGGTCAAGCAGTGCGAAGGCCCCGTTCTTGCGGAAGAAGGATTCAATGCGGCACGTCTTGCAGGAGACCATTTCTTGCTTCACTGGGGGCCCTGGGAAAAGATGTCAGAGGCCAGGAATGGGTTCCTGGGAAAGGGAGCCCTGCCTGCATAGCCCTAGGAATCTGCCCATGTTGTATACTTTGTACATGTAAAGAAATAAAAAGTACTTCTGAGGAGTGGGGCTATGAGAAAAGAGGGAGCTGGCTGGGTGCCCGGGGTCAGTAGTGACGGCAGAATGTGGGTCAGCATCATTACCCCTGGCCTCAGGATCCTCCACGGAGGGAGGGGGAGTAGGACACCTGGCCTGCTTGTCACAGGTGCGGAGTTAGACTTCTCTGGGAGAAATGGGGCTGCGTCTACTTCCTGCTCCCCTTCTGGGGCTTGCCTCCTGCCTTTGTTGGGAAATTGCTCCCTTTACTCCCCCTTTAGGGCCCTGGGGAAAGCGGGGGGACTTTTTAGGCAAAATCTCAACTGTGTTTATCCCCAACCATCCACCTTTGCTGCGCAGGCACTCCAGCAGCTGGAGAAAGACACATGACTGTGTAGTCTCACTTGAAATTCATGACCACAGACAGCAAAGCGACACTCAGCATCACTCAGAAATCCTGCAGCACTCCCTGGCATAGTCCTTTTCCCACACCTAACTCTTCCTCTCTCTCCCAGCTGATGACCTTGACTCAGCCTCACAGAAAAAGCAGACTCAGTCCAGATGGACGGCCTTCCTGCCAACATCTCCCTATCCCTCTCTGTGCCCCCTGCCTCTCCTCCTGTCAGATCCCAGCTTCTCGAACTCCCTGGGTGAGCCTGCCCAGTCTCCCAGCTTTAAAGAGCACCTATATTCCGATGACCCCAAATCTGAATCTTCAGCTCTGACCTTGCTCCAGAGGGCCAGACTTCCAAACACAGTCGCCTCACTGACACCCCCAGCACAAGCCTCCAGCCCTGCCCCTCTCCCAAGTCTTCCCTGTCCGGGCCACTTCAGCCAAACACCTGGGCATTACCATTGCGTTCTTCCCCTCTTCTCTCATTCAATCCATCAGTGAGTTCCATTGATTCTTCCTCCAAAACATATCCTGAATCTATTTCAGGTCTACTGCTAATCACCCTAGTCCAAGCCACTGTCATCTCTTGCCAGGATAATTCAAAATGGATGCCCACTCACCTGCTACTCTTTCCCCTGAAAAAGCCCTTACCCACAGAACAGTGAGGGTTTTTTTTTTTTTTTTTTCAAGTACATCAGTGTCACTTAGCTGCTTAAAACCCTCCACTGGCTTCCCCTTGCACTTAGAGTAAAACCCAAACTCCTCCTCCTTGTCATTTAGCTCTCAGCCTTTAGGTCTGCAGAGGCCTTGCTGACAATCCAGCCTACAGCAGCACACACCCCTCCCCTCCCCCATCACTCCCTAGTCTCATGACCGAGCTTGTCCCTCTCAGACATTTCCTTGCTCTTGTTTATGGCCTGGACCCCTACTAGGATGGACGCCCTCAGAAAGGAATGTCCACGTATCTGTGTGTCTAGTGCCAACAGCACTGCCTGGCTCGTGGCAGGTGCTCCGTGTTCATGAGGTGAATCATTTCTGGGAGGTTGGGGCTCACCCAGCTGCCAGCCATATGTGAAGTTGGTGGTGATGGGGAAGAGGTAGCGCATCTCTGGTATATCCAGTTTTCGGGTGTTGAGGTAGCGGTAGCGCCCCTGGAAGTCGTGGGAGATGCCTTCATACAGCAGGGCCCGGGTGGCAGGCAGTACTGGGTACATTTCTGACTGAATAGGAGCCTCCAGGGCAGGGCTGGTGGCCCTGGAAGGGACTGCTTTGGGGGCAGGTGGGGGTGAGAGTGGGGCTGTGGGGTGCAGAGTGGGCAGTTTAAGGGGCAGGTGGGCTGCAGCCTTAGCCTTCTGCTTGGCCTTCGCCATCGACCCATACTTGCGGTGCCATTCACAGCGCACCATTTTCTCCCTCAGATATTCCTCCTTCCAGAAGTTCTGCCGCAGCGTATCCATGTTGAGTTGACGTGACATGGTGGCAAGGGAAGAAAGAGTACCAGGGTGGCTGCCGCTGAGGGGTGAGCACAGCAAGCAGAGTCCTTCTGACAGCACGTAGCTGCCCAGGGAGAGTCACCCGGCAACCAAGCCTCACCTCACACAGGGCCAGGGTTCTACTTGCCATGCCCTCAGCAGACCTCACATGCCTTGCTTCCTGAGGCAGCCTCAGGCCAGGGCCCATTGGCTAAGAGCCTTGATCCCCAAACCTCTTGCAGGATCCAGGCCTGGTCTAGTATCACAGACTTCCAGCTTTCCTGTGCTTTCTGCTTCCGTCCCTTGGGGTGAGGTCCTCTCCCAGCCCAATGCAGACTGAAGTGGGGGAGCTAGGAGCCTGGGCACCAGCCTCCTCCTGTTCCTCCCCACCAGAGCTGGTCTTCTTTGATTCAGAGCACCAGTCCTTGAGTTATGGCCTTCTGGCACAATCTTCCCAGTACACCTCGTCTACACCCGGGTCTTTGGCCGAACCTTTTCAAGCCCTGCCAATCTAATCCCCTCAACAGCCTCACCCCACAAGTGTCCGTTCTAGCACCCAGCCTCAGTTTGGAGAGAAGAACATTTCTTTAATTTAACATCAACAATGACTCTATGTAACAGCACAGGGAAGAGGTAGTGGAGAGAGAAGACACTCAGGCTTCCTGTTCCCTAACCAGCCTTGATTTTAATGGCAGAGCCCCGGCAACCTAGAAGCACCTCACCTAGCCTCTCAATGGAGTGGGAAGGGGCAGGGAATTGGAAATCAGAGGCTCAAAACTACAGAAGGGCTGATGGCAAGCCTGGGGAGAGGCCTGGAATGGAGGGAGGGGCTGTGGGGAGTCCCCTAACGCAGGTCTTCGGCCGTGAACATGCCCTTGGCCCTGCGCAGGATGGAGTCCTTGGTGGCGTCATAGGGGTGCTCCTTGGATGGGATCTCCAGAACGGCCGGAATGGAGCGCTGGTGGGCATCGAGCGCGTGCCGCACCATCTCTGCGATGTACTGGTTGATAAGGATGATGCCAATGTCATCCCGGTTTAGAAACTGCCTGTTGGGAGAGATGAGAAGGGAGTCCAGGGCAGCCCATTCCAAGCTGGTGGGTTGGGTTGCAGAGGAGAATGGGCTTGACCCCGAGAGCACAGAGGACAGGGGAAAAGGTGACTACACTAAACTCCCTCCATTCTATCCAGAATCAATTTCCTTCAAAAGCTAAGGGCCATGGCTGTCAGGGTTGGCATCTACGTCCCCTGCTTGGAAGGGGACTGGTGATGAAGATTAGGGTGCATGCCAGTGCATTGTGTATGCTGCCTTTGGGTAGGAATGGGAGAGGATAAGAATATATACGTCTGTCCCTTTATTTTTGCATAAAGAAAGAAACAAAGTGGTTATCTGTAGGGGTGGAGGTGGGAGGTAATGAGGTAGAAGAGGACAGGGGTGGGAGTGAGACTTCTCAATGTGTATACCTTGCAAATACTAATTTGCAAACCACATGAACACATTAACTTCTCAAAGGAAAGCAAATTAAATTATTTTTTTTAAAAGAGGGCTAATGAGACCACTAAAGGCCTCAAGGTCTATGCTGATGAGGTGCAGAGGGGAAGCCTGGCACGAGCCCATAAAACAGCAAAGGAAGAGGCAAATCAGTAACGAAGGCATCACACTTCCCGGACAGAGAGAACCTGGCACTGGGATCTTCCTTTCTTGTGATCACCCATTCATTAATTTATTTATTCATTAAAAACTATTTACTGAGAACCCACTCGTGCCAGGCACTGGGGGAGGTTCAACTTGATGATCTCTGAGGTCCCTTTTGGTTGGAAACATGGCAAGTTCTTGGAGTAAAACTTGTCCTTCTCCCATTACAACTTGGGTCATTTTACCAGACTGCTTAGAGATCAGCCTCCCGGGTCAGGGCCTCTCATACCCCAGGCAGCAGGAACCAGTCTCAGCCAGCAGCTCAGGGCCCGACTGTTTAGGGGGAAACAGGTCAGAGTGGTTTGTTCCTGAGACTTGGCAAGAAAGGCCCCAGAGAAGGGGTGAGGAAAAGAGTTAGTAGGCTGGCATCATCAATGCTAGTCACCAGGACGCCTCCTGGATTGAAGGACATGCCTGCACCCACACCTTAAAGCTATCAGTCTTGATCCAGGGCAGAAAATGAGGACTTCAAGTGCAAGGTCTTAGCAGAAGGCAGGACAGAGTCCTGGTATTCCGCCCACTGTGCTCAAGACAATGGGAAATTCCAAGGCAGACAGGAGAGCTGGACAAGCAGAGTGTGGACCTGGCTCAAGAGAGGCAGGAACGGTTGGCACTGGGTTCAAATCCCCAATCTGCCTCTTCCAAATGGTGTGCCTTTGGTATGTGCCTTAACCTCTCTGAGCTTTAGTTTTCTCACCTGTAAGTGCGAATAATAACCCATACCTTACAGGTCGATTGTGAGCCTCTAAGGGAGATGCAAATACGAGAAAGCCCGGGACCACCGCCTAGGTATTCAGTGGATGTTTTGTTCCTTTAGGGATCAACTCGCAAAGAGTCGAGTGCTTGCAGTGCCGGGAGCCTGCTCTACGGATGAACTGGGAGAACCCCTAAAGAGGCGCCGAGACTGATCCTCTCCGGAGGCTGGGTGCTCTGGACGCCCCGCTACCGCGGGCAGGCGGAGTCGGGGGGCGGCGCCCATCACGAGCTCTGTTCCCCTTCTCTCCTGACACACCGTCATGTGAGGGGGAACTCGTGGACCCGACGCAGCCTCGGCCCTGCCGAGCCCCAAAAAGGGAACTTGGGGCGCGGAGACCTCTGCTCCGGAGCGGCGGGCGGACCGACTTCTCTGACCCTCGAGGTTGGGATCTGACCCTCGGTCAAGGTCGGTAAACCCAGCGCAGGCCCGCCCGCCCGGTCCCCGCGCCGCCCCCGCCTTCCTCCCGCGCCCCCACAGCAGAGGGTCTCGCTCAGGCCTTGCGGGCTACCGTACCGGAAAGTGTCTTCGATCTCATTGATGGGTGTATCTTTCTCCACCACCAGGAAATTAGGGTGGCGGTTCTTGTTAAGCTCCCCTATGCCGCCCAGCAGGAAGCCAGTCACCGTGTCCTCGTCTCCGATCACCGCAATTAGCTTCCCCCTCCCTGCCATCCTCGCAGCCAGGCGGAGCTCAGCCGAGACCACCTGAAGTCACCGAAGCTCCGCCTCCGCAGCGCACCGCCTTTTCGGCCTCACCTCCCGCCCTTTAGACATGCGCAGTTCCACCACTCCGCCTCCCGGGACATGCGCATTAATCGCAAAACCGCCTGGATCTAAATACGCCTGCGCCATAAAGAGAGGCCCGAACTCGGGGACTACAATTCCCAGAAGCCTGCGCGGCCCCGCGTACTTGTCCAGGGTCGTAGGATCGCTCGTTCAAGGAACGGCTTGGAGTCTACTGCTGGGAGATGCCGAGTCGGCAAAGAAAAGACATGACTCCTGTTCTTGACGGCAAGATCTATATCCTGTATGTATGTAGGTAACTATGGCACATAGTTAACAATCAGTACATACTTATTCAGTTAATAAAAGGATGAACAAGTTAGCGATGATACTGTCTAGTGAAGTAGAGCTTCAAGTGAACAGGCAATTACAAAGCGGTGTGTGAATTGCTAAAATGTGAGAAGTACGCGGAAGCAGGCATCAGGAGTAACTAACCCAGGGGGCGAAGGGGCACTCAAAGAAGGTTGCCAGCAGGATGGGGGGGGGGGGGGGGGGGGGGGTGGAAATGAGGACGAGAGAGTGTTCTGGGCAAGAGTAACAGCATGTGCAAAAAGGCTTAGTGACTAGAGAGCATAAGTGCCTTCAAGAAAAATTAAAGAACCCAAGGAAGTTATCCTGCGGACCAAGTTGTCCTGAAGCCGCTGAAGGATTTTAAGAGAGAGAATGCTATCTCAAGATTTATGTTTTTTTTTTTTTTTTTTTTTTGAGAAAGATTAGCCCTGAGCTAACATCTGCTGCCAATCCTCCTCTTTTTGCTGAGGAAGACTGGCCCTGAGCTAACATCTGTGCCCATCTTCCTCTACTTTTTATTTGTGGGATGGCTACCACAGCATGGCTTGCTAAGCGGTGCCATGGCTGCACCTGGCATCTGAACCCCTGAACCCCGGGCTGCCGAAGCAGAATGTGTGCACTTAACTGCTGTGCCACCAGGCCAGCCCCCAGATTTATGTTTTAGAGAGCACTGTGCTGTCTGCAGAGGCAAGACGGAAGGGGGCAGGGTGGGGAGGAGAAATGTTGCGCTTAGAGATGATGGTGGCTAGTGCTCAGGTAGTGGTGATGGGGACTGTGGAGAAGTAGATGGAGTCAAGAGATATTTAGAGACAGAATGGACAAAACCAGTTTTTGGGCTGGATGTGTCTGGGTAGTGAGAGAGAGACTGAAGTGACTTCCAGGTTTCTGGCCTGTACAGCCAGGTGGACAAGCAGAGAGCGTGAACTCTGAGATGAGCCGGTCAAAGGGGAAAGGGCTGCCCTGTCCTACTCCATTTTAACAGGCACCCTGGCGTCTGGCATGTGATTTGCCACTTTAGAGTGCTTGAGACCGCCAGAGGGGCTGGTCTAGTGGTTATTTGTACGGTAGACCTGGGATGGGGCACACCTGGTTTGAATCTCTGCCCTGCTCCTAGAGGTATAATTTTGGATTCATTACCAAAATTCTCAGGGCCTTGGTTTCTCCAGAAAATAGTAACCCCTCCTCAATGGGGTTGTAGGACTAAGTCAGATAGAACCCATAAATGCTCAGAACCCAGGACCATACTGTGGTTGGGGGAAAGCAGCTGGCTGGACATCTGTAAACACAGCAACACACGGGTGGAGGGCGGCAAACCATCCAGGAAAACACCCACATCTGGGGGCGAGCTTGGAGGGAAGGCAGAGAGTAAGGAAGGGTGTGCATAGAAGCACCTGCCTTAGTGCCTGGCATGGAACTGACCCTCAGTTGCCACGAGTGGTTGGTCCTTAAGAGAACGGATCTCGCCTTCAATGGGTTTGTCAGGTAAAGCAAGGAGCTGGGACAGTGCCACATTCATCACTCACTCCTTCGTTCAACCAGTGTTTATCAAATGTGGCCACAATTAGAGGCTGAGGATACAAGATTGATAAAATATGGCTTTTGTCCTCTAGGAGCTCCCTGCAGGACTGAGGGGAGGCTGAAAAATATCACAGGGAGGGCGACATACAGAAAGAGAGGCCCTGGAGGGGTCTTGAAGGGGCAGGATTCGGAGTGAGGAAGAAGGGAAAGAAAAAAAGAGGAGCAAGGCAGATAGGCTGCTGAGTGAAGAGAGGAGGGGGGCTTGGAGCAGACCCACCACCTCGTGCTGAAATGTCCGGGGACAGGACTAGAGTTGGGGGATCAATTGAGTGAAATACTTCTTTGCTGCTCTGGCCACTCAGTTGCTCATTCGTTTATTCATTGGTCACACCTGTCGGTATCCGACCTCCCAGGGTCAGGGAGCTCAGTCTGGTGGGGGAGGCTGACTCACAGATACATGGTCACAGATCAGGGTGGTAAATGCAGCCAGAGATGTGCCCCAGGGCAGTATGGGAGCTGGGGTCTGATCCCGGAGGGGCAGGGAGGGGTCCAGGAAGATGAGGGTGGGAAGGCAAGAGTGTGCCTGGGTAGAGGCCCAGACTGCAGCATGGGTGCCCAGAAAACTAGAGGCTGTGAAGAGGGGTCGGAGGTGGAGGTGCGATGGATAGTGGGCGCGCTGCCCAATATGGGGGGCTTCTTGGATGAATGGGTGGGGAGGCTGGTGCCTGAACCTAAAGTCCTTGTTAGGAAGAGTAAACTTTAGCCTGGAGCAGGACAGAGCCAGAGAATGGCCCTGAACCAGAGCGGGGTATAATCCCTTTAATGTGTCCCCCTCTGGCTACAGCAGTCAGGGAGGGGGGATGGATTCGGACTGAGCTGGCTGGGGCAAGGGAGGCTAAGAGACTGATGCAGGAGTTCAGGAGGGAGACCCTGAGCAAGGTCAGGGCTGGAGGTGGGGAGGAAGCAGGGCTAGCTTTGCCCCAGGACCTGCCTGGAATGAAGGTTCCTGGATTTGCATGTGGTTCTGCCTGCCTGCCTGCTGGGTGAGGAGCATTTCTGTGAGTCAGCGCTCACTGTTTTAAGGTCCTAATTTGGAGAACATCTTTGAGATCAGGCTGAGCTGAAACTGGCCTCCCAGTGGTCCTAGGGCAGTCTTCTAAAACGTAGTGTCCACCTCCCTCTCCCATTAGATCTTTAGGAATCTGAGGACCGATCCCACATCCCTGAGCCCCACGTCCCTGTCCCTTAACACACCCCACCTCCACCCTTGGGTCTTTCAAGCACCCCACCAACATCCCAGACCTCTCCAAATAGGTGGCCCAGAGGGGTGGCCCTCTGCCCCAGGCCCTTCATCTCAACCTGGGTCAGTCCTCCAGGGGACAGCCAGCCGGCCTGTTCCTCCCTGGGGCCTGATTTAGTGTCAGCAGGCCAGAAGGTCACCAGCCATGGAAAGTAAACGCAAAGGAACAGCCAAGCCTCTGCGACAGGCCGCACTTTATTTGGAGTTTTCCACCTAAGTGGCTCCCAGCTGAGTCGCATGACATGTGCAAAAGTCCCCCCAGAAAGCTGGGCCTCGCAGTGTGTAAAAAAGGCCCCCAGTGGGGCAGAGCTGTGCAACCATAAAAAAAGAGAAGTCAGTCCCCCAGGAGCCTAGCTGGGGCGGAGGATAAATCACCCCCGGCTGGGCCACGTGCCGATGCTGCCACTGGTTCTGGGTCTGTTTTCTTCTCTGATTGTGCTTGCTTTTCCAAGTCTTTAACACTCTGGGGTTGTGGCCACAGAGGGGCCAGACACAGTCCTCAGCGGCAAGGAGTATGGCCGGCGGTGCGGTTTGAGGGTAACCTCTCTCACACACACAGACGCCCCCACACATGTGCTCCCCCACTGGCCTCAGCCCATCAGAAAACTCAGGGCTTCCCTGGCCCCCCTAACCCCCCGGCCACCCTCACATCACATTTGAGGGGAGGCACACTGCCCTGAGACAGACAAGGCCCTCCGCCCCCGGGGGGCACAGCAGGGTGGGGAGGCTGTGCCTTCATTTCACACCCCAAGGCAGGTGTTTGTGGTAACTGATTCTGCAAGTGTGCATCTGGGTGTGGCACATTTGTGTGTGTGTGTGAGTGTGTTTGGCCAGAGGTGGGGATCAAGGCTGGGGGAGGCACTTCTGGGATTCAGGGCACATTGACTTTGAAGGGGCTTCCGGGGACACTTTCGTCGCCCCACTTGACGATGAGGATGTAGTCTCCTTTCTCCTTGACGGTGTAGGTGACGTTGTACACCCGGTTCCCCATGTGCTTCACATACACCTCCTCACAGGGGGTCTTGGGCCCGTGCACACCCACCATCATCATGTTGGTGCCTGGAGGGGGCGGCAGTGAGAGACAGGCTCACACCAGGGGCCCTGGGCCCCCGCCAGTCCCTACCCCACCCCCATGTTCTTGCACACTTGCCCACCCTGGGAGGCTGCCCCTCTCCCCCTCAGCATGCCTGCTTTGCTGCAGTCCACGGTGAAGGAGTTCTTCTGGCCCACAAAGGCCTGGGACAGCCCGGGGCCCCGCGTCACCACCTTGCTGGCATCCGAGGAGAACTTGGGGATGGAGCTGTAGCTGGAGCCCCGGCTTGAGGATGACTTGGTCACAGTCTCCACCAGAACCGTGGATGTTTCGTGAAGGCTGTGGCCTCCCGATAGCCGGGGACCTGAGGGACAGAGAGGAGTGGCCATGAGCTGGGTCAGAGGCCTGCCCTTCCCTAGGCAGCAGGCCCTTGGCCAGCACTGACACTCCCGTGGGACTCAGGGTCCCGGGCCACGTTCCCTTCCTCAGCTGTGGCATCCTAGGAGAGGCACCCTATTCCAAATGAGCTTGGGCTCCGGGCTCCAGGGCAGGCTTATCCTGAGGTCTGGGGCCTCTGATGGCTCCATCCCTCGCCCCACAGGCTTTGTCTGGGAACTCAAGCCACAGGATAAGAGTCTTGCTTTAGAAAGGAACATGCATCCAACTAATCCTTCATGCGGCTTCCAAAAGGACAGCTTGCTAAATATTTACTGAGCTCTGTCTTCTGGGAGGCTGGAGGGCAGAAAGCTAAGCTAAAGCTTGGGGAGCCACCGCAGGGGACAGATTAATCAACTGATGGACAAAAATAAAGAGGAAACATTTGGTTTTTAAAAATAATTCTTCACAACTCCACAGAACGGTGTGTTAGGTAAAGCCAGGCCCACCTTATTCCTGATAACTTGTCCATGATGTTTGAGGCAGACTGTGACCCGGATGTGAATGGCCACTGGAGCCATCCAGGATGGGCTGGGCTGCAGGCTGGACTGGAGGGACCTTCTCCCACTTGGGGCACTCACCTGTGACTTTGGCCTTGAAGGGGCTGCCCACGATGTGCTGCGGGCCACCATACTTGATGGCGATGAGGTAGTTGCCAGGGGCCATGGGAGTGTAAGTGACCACGTGGCCCTCAGGACATTCCCGACAGTCCAGCTGCACCTTGGAGGGGCCATCGATGGTGACAGACAAGGCCCCTGAGCCCGCGTTCAGGGTGTTGACAATGAACTCTGATGATACACCTGGGGGCCAGAGGTAGCAAGGCTGTAGGAAGGAAGGTCTTGGGGCCTAAAGCTGGGATGGGCCAGGCCCCAGGCTCCCCGGAGCAGGCCTCTGTGAGGACTCATGAGTACCACCCCTACCTCTGGGCAGAGTAGTATAGGACTGCAGGCTGAGCAACCCACTGTTCACCCCTCCCCAGCCCCAGCACTCACCTGTAGTGCCTCCCTCCAGCCCGGGACCATAGGCTGACACCAAGCCTGGGTCCCCAGCTTGGCTCTGCTCCCCAACACGGATCTTGAAGGGACTGCCAGGGATGTGGGCACCGTTGAACTTGACATCGATGGAGTGGACGCCATTCTCGTGGGGGATGAAGCGGATGGTGTGCTTGTCTGAGGGGCAGAGGGTTGGTGGGTGAGTTTGTCTTCCCCCCTCCACTTCCCAGAAGCACGGCAGGGGTGGGCAGGGGCAGGGCCAGCTCACCACTGTCCAGCTCGGAGACGTAGCACTCCTCCACCGCACCCGAGGGCGTGTGCACCCTAGCATCGATCACGCCCCGCGCACCATTCAGCTGCACCGCAAAGGACGCTGGCTGGTTCACCTTGAGCCCCGTCTCCTGCGCAGACCATGGAGGGTGCTCAGACTCCTGGGAGGGTCTGGCGCGCTCCTCTGCAACTGGGCACTGCTCTTACTGTATGCCCAGCCCGGAGGCTCCCACCTCTCACCCCCACTGTGGCTCCTGCCGCCAGCCCAGCTCTAGGACGCTCTCAACAAGGCTGCAGAGGGAGGCGGGGGCTGGGTTATGGCCCCGGCATGCATCTGCTGGGAGGGGGGGCCACCTGGCTGTGCTGGGCACAGTGGGGTTGAGAGATGATGTGCCCTTTCCCGGCTGAGGAGGTAAGACCCAGACACTGTAAAGCGAGCCTGACGGTAGAGAAGCCAGTGCTAAGATGGTGCTGTGAGGAAGAAAAAGGAGTGTGGCCTGGACTGGCCTGGGGTCGCTCCATGGAGGAGGTGGGCCGATGGGGAGGCACTGGGGGAGGTGAAGATGAACCTGGGGATGGGGCATTGAGCTCAGTTCTAGGGTGGGATGGGGAGAGAGGCACAGGGACTCCTGAGGCTGGTAAGACTGCTCTGAGGGGCACCTAGAAGGGGACATGGAGCCCCCTGCTATACAGCAGTGAGGGAGCGGGGACATCTCACTGGCCCTTCCAAGATCACTGCTCAGCCCTACATGGGCCTACCATCATTGACTCCTGCCCATGTCTCAGAGTGGCAGAGGGGCCCCACTCCCTGGCACACACCTGGAGGCTGGTGACAGTGAGGCGGCGAGCATCGTCTGAGAGGGAGGCCACAGGCACCACAAAGGGGCTGTCTGGGATGTGCTCATCATTGAACTTGATGGAGACCTCATAGTCACCTGGGGAGGGGAAGCCAGTCAGCATAGGCCCCAGGATGAGGGTCAGCAGGGGGGAACCACCCCTACCCCAGCCTCATCCCAGGACAGGCTCCTTGGGTCAGGGCTCAGCTCTGGAGACAGACATGCATTCCCAGCGGTGTGGGGTGGAGGAAGATGGGGCAGAGAAAGAGCAGAGGCCTGGGTGAAGAGTCAGTTCTGTAGCCCCAACCACCTCCTGCCTGGTTGGTGAGCAGAGACCCAGTCTGGAAGGTCAGGCAGGTCCAGCCCTCATCCCTATTGTGGACACTCACCTGGTTCCTGGACAACATAGGAGACCCCACAGGAGCCGTCTTTGCGGTCCTCAAATGCAATCTCTGCCTTGCTGGGACCCTCCACAGCAATCGACAGGCCCCCGGCACCTGCTTCTCGGGTCCAGATGCTGAACTCAGCTGGACACAGGGAAGTGGGGCAGAGGTGGCTCTTCAGGACCATTGCCCATCCTGCTAGCTGCCCTGCCCCCATCCCTCCCTCCTCACTACCTGTCCCTCACCTGGCACGCCAGCCACACCTCGCTCCAGCCCTGTGCCTCCAGCCCGCACCTTGTGGGCACCACCTTCACCCAGTGGCCCCACAGTGAACTGAAAGGGGCTGCCGGGCACGTGCTGGCCACGGTACTTGACAGTGACAGTATGGGGCCCCATCTCCTGGGGCACAAAGCGCACGCTGTATGCACTGTCCTCCCCCTCGACGATCTCTGCGGCTTCTGTCTTGCCCGATGGGCTGGTCACCTGTGCGGTCATGTCTTGAGAGCTGGCCTCACCTGCAGGGGGTGGGGACTGTCAGGGTGACACTGGGACTGCTCCCGGCCCTGGACCTTCCCTCCCTCCTCAGTAAAACTGCCTCTTCCACTCAGACCAGCCCTGGCTGGCTGACAGCACTCTCCCCAGCCCAGCCTCCCTGTGAGGTCCCTGGCCCTAGCCCAGCCCTGCTCACCCTCCTGCTGCCGAGTGATGCTGCCAAAGGAGCCCAGGCGTTCGCGGCCCAGGAAGTCCCCGAAGACCGCGGGGAAGGGGTCTCCGCCAACCTGGGTGGACTCCTCCACCCGCACCTCACGCTTGGTCTCTCCGCCCCGGGTCTTGCTGATCTCCGTGCGCTCTGTGCGGGTGTACGTGTGGCTGCTGCGCGTGAAGGTGCGTGTCAGGCGCTCCTGGGCAGACACCATCTGGAACCAGTTCCCTGTGGGACACAGGGAGCCAGGGAGAGGAGGGAGGTGAAAAATGAGCAAGCAGGACAGAGACCCCTCGGGGCAGGCTCTCCACAGGCCCTCCCCAACGCCCTGCCCTGCCCAGGCTCCTCCTGGCTCACACCTGGGATCTTGAGGTTGAGGTCACAGGTGCTGCCAATGGTGGCGATGGAAGGTGCCTGCCTGCGCCGGGTGATGCTTTCCTTCATGCGGCCCTCACCGGTAACCTTCACAGTGAAGGGGCTTCCTGTAGGGGGAGAAAGGGCCGGTCAGGCATCTCACACTGCCCGCCTCCAGCCTCCAGACCTCTCCCTGCCCAGCCACAGCCCAGAGCCTTACCTGGCACATGCTTGTCAGCAAACTTGATGTTGATGATGTAGGTGCCGGGTTCAGTGGGGCAGTAGGTGACTTTGCATGTGCCATCCTCCATGTCCTCACAGTTGATGTCCACCTTGCTAGGGCCTTCAATACTCAGCCCCAGGCCCCCATAACCTGGCAGGAAACAAGGGACACATTTCCCTCAGTCCCTGCCACCCACTACAACTCTGCTCTCCCCTCCCCAAACTGCGGCTCTGTTCAGAATGGGCACCCAAGGTGTATAGTAACCACTAACGAAAGATAGATCAGCAGGAGGAGAGGGTGTGAGCAAGGCACTGGCCCAGAGGGCCAGGAATAGGTAATCTGGAAAATTCCCTAAGGTAGGCCTCTTGGGTTCCAGTGAGCCAGGGAGAGGCAGAAACTCAGGACAGCTGAGCTTTCTCTTGAAAGTGAGAGAACCGACACGAGGACATTCACTTTCCCCTACATGGGCCCCAGAATGTGAATCCCAACAGAGACTGGGCCAGGACGTTCAGGGCAGAGGCTTTGGCCAAGGGGTTGCTGGGCAGGAAAGGACAAGTCCTCACTGGAGGCATTAGCGGAAATGAGGGGTCTCTGGGGCAAGAAGCACCTGCATTACGAGTGTCCACGATGAACTCCGCCACCTGGAAGGTTTGTCCCTCGGACAGGCCCTTGCCCCAGACCCGCACCTTGCTAGCGTCCCCGATCTCAGAAGGCCCCACCAGGATCTTGAAGGGGCTATTGGTGACGTGCTTCCCACTCTTGCGCACGCTCACCACATGCTCCCCAACTTCCTTGGGGGTGAAGGAGATGCCTGTGGAGGAGAGGGGATCAGTCATAGAGCCCTGGGCCTGGCAGAGCATCCCTTGGGCTCCTCTCAGGCCTCCAGAGGCCCCACACTTACCAATGTGCCGGTTGGGCAGGCGCTTCAGCAGGCAGGGCTCCTCGTTGCCCGAGGGGGCACGGATGCTGGCGGTCAGCAGGCTCAGGTCACTCTCGGTGATCTTCAGTGACACATCCGTGGAGGTGCCCACGTTTAGCTGTGACGTCCTCATCGAGTCATCGCCTGGTGGGGGAGATGGGGTACCGGGCAGTTGTGACTCCAGGGTGGCCCTACCCTCCTGGGGCTCAGGAAACCTCCTGGCAGACCCTGCTGGACTCAACAGACTGGGGACCACTCACAGGCAGAGAGGCCCAAGGCCTGGGAGAGCACAGTCTTCATTCACATGTTAGCTGCCAAGGATTATGGAGAGGCCCAGCACCCCAACTGCCCTGTGGATGCCTCAGTCCTGAATGGGTTAAATCCCTAATTTGTGTTTTTTAATCCTGAGTCACATAGTTTCTTGGAAACAAAACAGTAGATTGGACCAGACAACAGAGACCCCTTACTGGCTGTATGGCTCTGATCAAGTTGCTTACCTCCCTGGGCCTACTGGTTTCCTCAGCTATCAAAAAGGATAATCAATACCCTAACTTTGCAGGCATTACTTCGAAGACAAATGAGATGATGTGTTTCAAAGCATGGGGGGTGGCTGGCTGTGTCTCACCTGCTAGAGAGATAGAGTGTTCTCAATCTTTATCCAAAAATGGTCCCTTCCATCTCGAAGGGCCCCTACCCTAATGCTCCAGGGTGACTTGAACATGCTGGGCTTATACATTTGTCGTGTGCTGGGGGAGTGTGTCATAGGCTGTATGTGCCCACACATTCACCCACCTGTGATCTTGGCTGTGAAGGGGCTCCCCGGGATGTGCTTGTCATCAAAGCGCACGATGATGCTGTAGTCTCCAGGCGCTGTGGGTAGGTAGGACACCGTGCAGGTGCCATCCTTGTTGTCCTTGCAGGTGATCTCTGCTTTGGACGGGCCCTCCACGGCCAGTGACAGACCCCCTGTAGGTGGAGATGGGGCTGAGATCAGAGGTCCTGCCCTCACTCTTGCCCCTGGCTGGCCCCTACCCCAGCGCCCTGCCTACAGCTCTCTCACCTTCCCCAGCATCCTTGGTGACAATGGTGAAGGTGGCCGGCTTGTTGACCATGCCATGGCTCAGGCCTGGCCCGTAGGCACTGACATGGCGGCTGTTGATGGCATCCACATAGAACTGCAGGGGGCTCCCTGCGGGGTGGACAGAGAAAGGGGGCTGGGTCAAGAGTGAGGACTGGGGCTGCCTGAGCCCAACTTGGCCCCCAGCACCTTCCAGCAGCCTCCCTGCTGAGCCTTACATCTCTGCCATAGGGGTCTGCATAATGGAAGTCTATCAGCCTCCCTAGTGCCTCACATGATGTCTGCACATAGCAGGCGCTCAATAAATGTTTGTTGAAAGAAGGAAGGCAAGAATGAAGTTGCTATGGGCTCCACTCAGCTCAGCTCAACTCAGCTCAGCCCAGCCCAGCCCAGCCCAGCCAGACCCGACTCACCAGGGATGTGGTTGCCATCATACTTGATCCCCATCTGGTGCAGGCCTTTCTCAGTGGGCGCGTACCTCACTGTGATGGTGCCATCCTTGTTGTCGGTGATATTGGGCCGGGCAGTTTTCCCAGAGGGCATCCGTACCTCCCCTGCCAAGCAGACACAGTTATGTGGGGGACTCTGGTTTCTCCTACTTCAACCCACCTGCTGCCCCAGGCTCCCAGTCCTGTGTGGTTCTGTTTCCACCCCAGAGGTTAGGCACCTCGAGCAGTGAAAAGAACCCTGAACTGGGAGACAGAAGGCTTGAATCTGAGTTCCAGCTCTGCCCAACTTGCTGTGTGACCTTGGGTAGCTCGTTTCCCCTCTCTGGGCCCCAGTTTTCATCTCTAAGACAAGGGGCTGGACCTTGAAGAAGGTGTCCTCCCTCTGAGCCCTCATGCCTCAGGGCCCCAGGGCAGTACCTGTGAGCTCCCCTTTCTGCACGGTGAAGGGGATGACCAGGTTGAAGGGCCTCAACATAGACTCCATTGGCTCCACAGGCACCACTGGCTCCTCTGTGGCCTGTGACAGGTGAAAGGGAATAGTCATTGGCTGGGGAAGGCCTGAGGAGCTTGGCCTGAGCCATGACTGAAGTCAGAGAAAGTGAGAAAAGAACAAGGTGGTTAATGGTGAAATCAGAGGGCAAGACAGGCGTGTCAGCTGCAAGAAAAGAGGTGCTGTGCCAGCTCAGGATTCATCTGCCCAGCCTGTCCCCCACCTCCTCCACAAGATGGCCCCGAAACCATGCCCCAGCCTTAGCTGCTGAGGGCTAGGGGAAGAAATGAAGGAAGAGGAGGAGCAGGACGAGGTCTCGCCCAGGTGGGTGGCAGCAGTACCCAGTGTGTGGGGTAGGCGCTGGGCCGGTGCAGCTGCAACACGTCAGAGGGCTCCTCCACGTGGGGCATGGGGTCACACGCCTGGGAGGCAAGGCATGGGAGAGCACAGGATGTGGCAGGCCAGTACACACCAGCTTGAGTGACAGGAAGCTGACTCAGAGAATGACCCAGGGACCCCCAACCCTGGGCTACCCACAGGGCAGGATGGATATCTTGGGTGCTTTACCCTCTGGAGGGCTTCATCGTCCTGCAGGGCCAACGGGGGAGATGTGTGGGGACAGTGGGCCCGAGGGCCAGGGAGGAACATGGCAAGTTCCTCCAGAGAACTGACCAACTGCCAGAGGGCCCAGAGGAGGGCTGTGCTCACCTCCCAGGCTGGGAGGCTGTGCGGAAAGCAAGGGCTTGACTCAAGCAGTTGGCCCAGAATTCACCAGATGTAGGGACAGGTCCTAGGATTCTTTGCTGCCCCTAGGAGGGTCTGGGCCCACCTCCCCAGCCACCCTCTAGCCTGGCTGCAGCGTGGAACTTACCAGCACATGGAAGGGACTGTTGGGGATGTGCTCGCCTCCAAAGCGGATGGTGATGACGTACTTGCCCGGCTCGGGCGCTGTGTAGTAGATGTCAAAGGTACCGTCATGGTTCTCAACCACGTCCACGTCGAGCTCTGCCCCATCCGGCGTGGACACTGTGCATGTTACCTTCCCCTTGCCTGCTGCCTTGGCGTCCACTGTGATCACCGTCTCCTCCCCGATCTGGATGCGGGGGCCTAGGCAGGCACCTGCCACACGGAAGAGCCTGGTCAGGGGTCCGTGGGGGCTGTGCCCAGCTTCCCTCCATTCCCAGCTGCCCCCACCATCTCAGCCCACAGCAAGAAGAGAAAGGGCACTCACCCAGGCCATGGCCTCCAATGGACACTGGAAATAGAGAAGAGTGTGAGGCCATGCAGCGCTCAGGAGTGGGGATGGGGGCAGGGGAGGTGGGAGGGGAGGGCTTTCTGACCAACAGTCCCCTGGGGACTGGGCCAGGGACCTGGAAGAGCTGTGAGGGCTGCTGGATGGTGAGCAGGGGCAGAGGAAGCGGGGTGGGAGCCCACCTGTGACGAGGCACTTGCTGGCGTCCCCAGTGGGCAGGGCATGGATGCGGAAGGGTGAGTAGGGGATCTCGTCACCGCCGTACTTGATGGTGATGGTGTACCGGCCACTCATGTCTGGCAGGTAGGACACGGTGTATGTGCCATCCCCATTGTCTCGGATGTTGGCCTTCTTGGGCTTACCCTCGGGGTCCTAGGGGAGAAGCAGAGGTCAAGCCCTGCCTGTGGGCAGAGCCTGATGTGGGAGGTGGGCTGCACATGGACTCACCAGGATCTGGACGGTAAGCAAGCCCTCACCAGCATCCCGGGCATCGATGGTGAACTCCACAGGCAGACTGGCAGGGATGCCAGCGGCGTTGAGGCCAGGGCCACTGGCCCGCACCTTGCTGGCATCATGGGCTGGAAGCACCTTGATCTTGAAGGGGCTTTAGGGGCAGAAGGGATAGACAGTTGGCCAGGGGGTCGGAGTGGGGGAACGATCTCATTTGGGGCCTGGAATCCTCCCCGTAGACATGAGCAGGGTAGGAGTGCCCTAGAGCTCAGCACAGCATGGGAGCCCAAAGCTGGGCCTCACCTGCGTGGCACTTCCTGGTCGGCATACTTGACGGCTACCGTGTATGGACCATCAGTGGCCGGGGTGTAGTGGACAGCATGGGTGCCATCTCCATTGTCACGTATCTCCACAGGCTCAGCCACACCTGGGCAAGGGGAGCAGGGTCAGCAGAGCCTCCTGGCACCCTGTCCCGCCTCCCTCCACCCTGCCCCAGCTATCCCATACCTGTGGGGCCCAGCACAGCCACCTGCAGGGGGGCCCGGCCAGCCTGGCTGCAGTCCACCGTGAAGGTCTGGGGTACCCGGGCCCTGACACCGGCCCCCAGCCCTGGTCCTGAGCATTTCACTTTCCCGGGGTCCACCACATCCTTCACTGGCACCCGGAACGGGCTCCCTGTAAGGAGAAGGACATCAGCCCCTACCCACCTGCCTGAGAGGATCTCTCTGACACTGAGGAACCAGGAAGAAGAGGCCTTCCCCACTTTGGAATGCCCCAGGGAGGCCAGACCAACATGTGCAAATGTTTAGGAACTTGCTAACAAAACATAAACAAGGATAAATAAACTTGGCTGCAGACTGAGGCTGGGCAAATCTCATTTGAGCCACAGCCCTGGAATAAGGCCTTCCTAAGTTAAGAAAATGTTAAAAATGGGATATTTTCAAAAGAATGCATTTTTGACAGTATGAAATTAGGAAAGTTAAGGGGGGAAAAATATCCAATTTCAGCAGGCCCAAGTTACGCAATAACTGAAGCTGTGACCTGCCCAGCAGCTTGGCCCAGCAGGAGAGCAGGGGAGTTCTTTGCTTTGTAGACGGAGAGAGCAAGCACGAGGCTGTCCTCACTGAGCCAGGGAGAGCGGCCTGGACTGTGTCTGAGTGACCGAACCCATGAAGTCTGGCACTCCAGGCAAAGGACCAGGAGGCCAACATTGGGCCTCTGGGAATGAACCGGAGCACCCACTGCCCTGCCTCTTGGCCACAGCCTCGGAACCCACACGTGCCTCCTATGCGTCCCCCGCTGGCTGGACTTGCACCCATCCAGTTCTAGGAATGAATTTCCATATCCCACTTCCTTGTAGTTTCCCTCTCACTGAGCGAGCATCCTGCTGCCCTCCCTGAGCCCCCCACCCACCCTCTCTGCACACCTGGGATGGGCCGCCCCCCAAAGGTGATATTGACGTCATAGTCTCCAGGGGTGAAGGGGATGTACTCTACGGTGCAGCTGCCATCCTTGTTGTCTTTGCAGGACATCTTGGCTTCCGAGGGGCCCTCGATGGCTAGGCCTAGGCCCCCAGTGCCTGCTCCCCTGCAAGACGACACCCATCAGCTCCACTACGACCAGTGAGTGGGGATGGAGGAACAGCTGAACGGGGCTGAAGGGAAGGAGGGCAGGCCAATGAGGGTGTGGCTGAGGAGGGATGAGCCACAGGGGCTGATCTGAGACACTAGGGTAGGTTTGTTCCTGGGTCACCTTTGAGAGGTGATGGGGTGGGGATGAGGCACACACAGAAGGACAAAGGGGGAGAGCAAGCGGCTGGGATTGGGGTGGCCACAGTGTCAGGGTCAAGGTTAGGAAAGTGGGAGGATACCTGGTCTCCACAGTGAAGCGGTTGGCCTTGTTGACCAAGCCACCCTCCAGGCCTGGTCCATAGGCCCGAACACGCGTGGGGTCACAGCCCTCGGTCACACCCACTCGGAAGGGACTCTTGGGCACAGCTACGTCATCATACAGCACCTCCACCAAATGTACGCCTGGAAGCCGGCCACACGGAAAGTCAGGGTGTGCGCGGCCCCAGCACCCTCCTGCCCTGAGAATGCTGTGATCAGATCCCCCATCCCCGCCCAGCCGGCCCCTCACCCTCTTCATAGGCTGTGTATTGCACTCGGTAGGTGCCATCCCCGTTGTCCGTCACGTAGGTGTCCGTCTTAGCACCCGAGGGGTTGAGCACACGAGCCGTCACATGGTTCCCACCTGTGGCTGTTAGGGATCTTGCATCCACAGTGAACTCAGTGGTCACCTCACGCAGGACACCTGGGTCCCAGGAGAAGAGAGCTCAGCATGGGCTGGGATCAACCTTCACACAGTTGCTCACCCCTCTTTTCGTCTCCCCGACTCCAAGGCTGCTCTTCCTTTCCACTGACTGCTTCCTAGCGTGAGCCAGGCCACCCTCTGCACCCCTGTGAGCTCCAGGCCCTGTCTCCCACAGCCCCTGCCTTTGCTCGCTTCACCATATGGTGACATTCTGTTCACGTCAGTTGCCCCACCAGGCTGAGGGCCGCTCATGGGTGAGTCTGGGTCTTACGTCCCTCGCCCACCCTCATGCCTAACCCAGGGTCTGGCCCCCAGCAGGTGATCCACTCTCATTTACTGAATGGAGCTGAGCTGTCTCCTGGCTCTCGTCACCCCCTACCCCAAAGCTTTCCCTCTGCACTGCCTAGAGCAGGGTTCTTAGCTTTCTCAGATCAGGGACCCCTTAAGCTAATGAAAGTTAAGAATCTCCCCAGAAACATGTCCATGGGCAGATGCAATTGTGTCACAAGAGCAGAGACAAAGCTCCACGCCCCGCCTGCACCCTTGGCTGCTTCTCTGGGGTGTCTGAGCCCTAAGGACGCCAGGGCTGTCCCCAAGTCCTCCCTTCAGACTATGGTGCTCTGCTAAGCACTCAGGCTTGCTTCCGTCCCTTCTGCTGCCTCCCCTGGCTCCCTGACGGGCTCCTGGCTCCTCTCTCACTCACCGTGCGGCTCCACACCAGGCCCCGAGACCTTGACTCCACTGGTGTCGATAGCGGGCTGCACATGGACGCGGGTGGGGAATTTGGGTACGGGGTGCCCACCGTACTTGATGGTAATAGTGTAGGTGCCGGGGAAGGCGGGGCTGTAGGTGATGTGGTAGGTGCCGTCAGCATTGTTGTGGATCAGCACCTCGGCCTTGACGCCAGCGTCTGACAGGATCTCGATGGTCAGCTCAGCCTCGCCCGCCTCCGAGCAGTCCACAGTGAAGGTGGCTGCCTCACCAGCCTTGCCACGCTCCAGGCCTGGCCCACTGGCCCGCACCTTGCTCGGGTCGAACACGGGCCGGATGGTAGCCTTGAAGGGTGAGCCGGGGATGTGGGCTTCGGCGAACAGGATGTTGATGGTGTACTCGCCCGGCTCCGTGGGCAGGTAGCTGACCGCACATGAGCCATCACCATTGTCCTGGCACTCGATCTTGGCCTCACAGGGGCCCTCCACAGTCAGCCCCAGGCCACCGGTGCCAGCCCCCTTGGTGTCGATGGAGAACGGCGCTGGGCTGCCTACCAGCCCACCCTTGAGACCAGGGCCATAAGCACAAACCTAGAGGGAAGAGCAGGTATGTGAGTTCCCTACACTTGGCCTCACCCGTGCTTGGCCTTCATGGCCCCCCACCCAGCCAGGCATCTTCAACTGTAGCAGCTACTACAGACTGAGGCCCTATAACAATTCCAGGTGCAGAAACGGAAGCAGAGAGATTAAATAATTTGTCCCAGTTAGTAGACTTGGGATTCAAGCCCAGGTCTGATCCAAGGCCAGGTTCTTACTAACTAAGCTGTCTCAAAAGGAGGTCCTGGGGTGGGGGATCGCCCTGGCCCTGGGTCCTTGGCTGTGCCCACTCCAGGACATAAGGCCCTCTGACCTCTGCCCCTGTGACTCATCCATCTTCCCTACAAGCCCCTAACTCCCAGCTCCCATCAGCTTCTATCTCCTCACCTTGGAGGGGTCGGGGGGCAGGACACCCTCCACAGTGAAGGGGCTGCCAGGTACCGGGTGGCCGTCGTAGGTAATGTCCACCTTGTAGGGACCCTCCTCAGGAGGCATGTAGCGCACAGCCTGGGCTTCAGCTCCGCCCCCAGGCTCCAGCTTGCAGGGGATCGGTCGTCGGGAGGGTGAGGTCATCCGCACATCCAGCTGGCCCTGACCACCAGCCCCTCGTGTGTTCACAGAGAATGCCTGTTCTTGCCCCACAGCCACCTCTGCATAGGAGGCAAGGGACACCGTGAGCAGAGGCTTCAGCCTACCCCCTCCTCCAACACCCCTCACTCCAAGGGCAGCTCTTGCCCCACTTACTACTGTTGAGGCCTTGAACTTTGACTTTGCTGAGGTCCAGCGGAGGTGCCACATTCACCACAAAGGGACTCTTGGGGACGGGGTCCCCACCATAGGTCACTGTCACTGCCATGTTGCCCTAATGGATTCAACAGGAGGTCAGAACTAGGTTGCTTAGACAGCCTGGCAACATGCCCTTGGTCAGTGTGGACCTAGGCTCAGAGATCCACAGCCAGAGAGGATGGGAGGCAGGAAAGGGGCCAAGATCCAGAACTGGCCCTATGTGAGGAAGGAGACCCAGGACCCCCATTAGCCAGGACAGGCAGGGGCATGGGAGGGGGCAGAGCCCACCTGCTGGACGGCGGTGTACTTGACGGTATAGGAGTAGTCGTGGTTGTCGATGATCTCAAAGTCCCGCACAGCCTCACCCTTGCCGGCCCCGGCAAAGTGCACGTCCAGCTTAGCCTTGCCAGCTCCCTTGGTCAGCACCGTGAAGTGAGTGGGCTTCCCAACTTCTACACCTGGGGAGCCCACCCAGAGACAGTGGTGAGGGCCTGGCAGCCACCTAGCGCAAACCCCAGCCCAGCCCAGCCCCTGCCCAGACACCTACCTGTGCGGTTCAGCCCAGGGCCCTCAGCCTTGACCTTGCTGGCATCATGGGATGGGTCCACCTTGATGTGGAAGGGGCTGGCAGGGATCTCCTGCATGGAGAAAAGGCTTCGTCATGGTGGACAAGGGCAGTCTCTGAAAGAGCCCCTTTTTTTTCTTCTGAGGCATGCTCCCCACACACAGGAACGTGCTCAGTCAATGGCTGTGGAATTGTCCCCAGATGACAGCATCTCAAGCTGCTGGTTTAGAATTGGGAGGTGTAGGCCGCTAGTGAGTATCAAAAGCTGAGGGCAGGGTACCTGGTTGGCAAACAGCACCATGATGGTGTAGCGGCCGGCCCCTGGGGGTGTGTACTTGACTGTGAAGGTGTCATTGTCATTCTTGATGATGTCAAAGTCAATGTCAGCCTCTGCGGGGCCCACCACGCCGGGGGCGCACTTGATGCCAATGCTCACATCGCCTGAGGGTAGGCAGACAGGAGGCCATGAGATGGGGGCTCAACAACCTGCCCCACCTGAGCAGTCCCACTAGAGCTCTGCCAGGAAACAGCTCTGCCAGGAGTACTAGCCCTACCCACCCAGACCCCGCCCCAGGCCCCGTCTCCTACTCCCCCGCCTGGCTGGTGCACCTTGCCCCGCCTCGCTGCAGTCCACGGTGAAATAGGTGGGCTCGTTGGCCTTGAGGCCCGTCTTCTCCACGCCAGGGCCGTACACCTTCACTTTCTCAGGGTGACTGCCCTCTCCCACGTTTACCTGTGGGAAGGGGTCAATGCTCAGCATGGTGCCCCTCCCTCAAAGCCCATCCTCTTCCCCAGCACTAGGCGCCTCAGCCTTAATGGGATCAATCTTAGCTCCTTCGTGGGGGCCTTGAGGTGGGGAGCAGTGACCAGGGCCCAGCGACAGCCGACATCTCCTGCATAGGGCTTCACCCTCCCTCTGGGACCCCTGGGCAGTGGGCACCAGGCAGGGTTCAGAGGACGCACCCGGAAGGGGCTCTTGGGCACGTTGACACCTCCCCAAGAGATGATGATGGTGTGTTTAATGGGCTTGGTGGGCACGTAGGAGCAGCGGAAGATGCCGTTGCCAGTGGTGAAGACGTTGATGTCGATAGGGCAGCCGTCGGCGTCCTGTGGGCATCATCCGAGCAAGGTACTTAGAGCACTCTGGCCTTCTCAGAGCACCGACGCCCTCTGCTGGCTTGGGGCTGTCCTCCCTACCCACCGCCAACACCCAGCGCCCCAACCGCCATAGACCTCAGGCCACACAGCCTAGTGCTCTGCATTCTGGTGGCCAGGGCGCACCCTGGGAGCCAGGAGACAGGGCTCTAGGCCGTCTGCATGGCCTGGTCTCCCAGCCTAGGTCTCTGAAATATGTTGGCAGGGGAGAGGCTGGGCTAAATCAATCTTCCTCAAATTGAATGATGAAGCTTTTAAAGAATTAGATACTTTTGGACCCAAGAATATGTTCATTAACCTCTAGGGATCAAGGGACGCCAGTCTGAGAAACTGACCTGGGAATCCAATGTCTTATTCAATCAAACCATCTTTTAACTACAAATTATTAGTATAAAAATACGTTTTTGGTAAAATATGTTTTTAAGATTATTATCAGTAAGAAAACAAAATTTCAAGTTTTCCATAGTTCTTATGGACCCACAAGAATCAGTTTTATGATGCCCAGAGGCCCCTCTTCTAATCTACCCCCACCCTCTCAGGGTCCCTGCCTAGGGCAGTGAGGGGCAGTGGGATTAGGCAATGCCCCACCTGGGCATAGAGCTTCAGGTCTCCCTTGCCAGCTGCAGAGGCATCAATGGTGAACTCCGCAGGCTTGTCCACGATGCAGCCAGTGGGCTCCAGGCCAGGCCCAAAGGCCTTCACCTGTGCAGGAGCAAGAGAGGAGGGCTGGGTTGGGGACTGGAGGAGGCGCTGCTCACCCCATCCCGGATAGTGTGCAGGAGCCGGGACCACACCTTGTCCGGGAAGCAGTCAGGTGGGGCTGGCTGGATGTGGGCAATGAAGGGCGAGTCTCGGATGTCCTCATCATCGCAGATGACATGCACGGCGTACTCCCCGGGCTCAGTGGGCCAGTACCGTACATCGCAGGAGCCATCCCCCTTGTCATCACACTCGATCTTGGCCTGTGAAGGCCCCTCAATGGAGAAGCCTAGGTGCAAGGTGGGGAGGGTGAGAGGGCACAAGAGGCAGCCTGGACATTCAGATAGGTCCCCCATCACTCCCACAACACCCCACCCCAGGTGTCCCCATGTACCATCTCCCTGTCTCATCTGGACACTCCCTAGCATTCCTGCCTCTTGTCCCCTAGTCACTCCCCAGTGTCCCTCCATCACACCACTCCCCAGCATTCCCACCTGCTGCCACCCGGCCACTTACCCAGTGTCCCCACCTCCGTGCCAATGGCCTCCACCACAAAGTCAGCTGACTTGCCCACCTGGCCAGTTTCCAAACCAGGCCCCCAGGCCCGTACCTTCTGCGCTCCTGCCTCTGGGCTCACCTGTACCTCAAAGGGACTGGGCAAAGAGGGAGCTGATGTCAGTACTGTTGGTGTGCCCCTGCCAGAGGGACCCCTCCTCTCTTCCCTCAGAGTCCCAGGTAGCCCCTCTCCCACCTCCCACCCTGTGAGGGCCCAGACAGGAAGGCATGCGGGGAGCGTGATGCTTACCTGCGGGGGATGGCATAGCCGCCCCACGTGATGGTCACCACATACTTCCCAGGCACCACAGGGTAGTACTCACACTCGAACACACCGTCCCCAGCCTCTCGCACCTTCACCAGCTCCTCTGTGCCCTCTGAGGAGATGTGGGAAGTAGGGGGATCAAAGGTCTGCAAGTCCCAGCTCCTCAACCCCCTCAGGGAACCCTTGGGATCCAGGCCTAGCCTGAGGGCAGTGCTGCTGGTGGGCAGGGACCACACGTCATCCCTGTGCATAGCAGCCCAGTATAGCATGTAGGGCAGAGAGGGTCATTCCCAGCTTACAGACTGAGAAACTGAGGCAGAGAAGAGATAATGTGCCTGAGGTCCCAGGGGACTTCTGGTCAGTGTCTCTTTGGAGTCTCCCCAGCAGGGAGTGGTGCTAGCTGTCACTGCCCTGAGGGAGTCAGAACCACTGGCCAAATTCCCTCCCTGCTCCCTGATCCCCACCACTGGCCCTGGGCCCTGGCACTCACTTGGCCCCTTGACTGTGACCTTGAGCTCTCCGCTGCCAGCGCCCTTGGTGAACACCTTGAAGTCAGCCACCTCTTTCACCCGCACACCCTTGGGCTGCAGGCCCCGCCCAGAGGCGCGGCAGGCATTGGGGTTACAGGCTGGGGGGAAGAGGAGAGGGGAGGTTGGGGGTACTGAGCGGCCCTGGACAGAGCCTCAGCCCCTCACCACTTCACTATGCACAGTCTTCCTGACCCCCTCACAGGCACAGGCCACAGTCTCATGCAACCCTCCCATGTGCTCCTTGGTGTCCCCAACAAAACTAGGGCTGCTGGGAGCCATGCTGGGCAGGGAGCTGGCCACAGCCCCCCTCAATCAGGCTGGTCACAAGAAACCTTTCCTGCTTGGCTTCTCAGAGTCACTCTTGCTTGGGACAAAGGCATGGCAGAGCCTGGGCAGAGAGTGGAGTGAAGAGAGGGAAAGCCCCTTCACCCACCCCAAGGCCATCCACCTAGAGCCATTTGAGCCTTCTCAGAGCCCCCATAGCAGCTTTAGGAAGTAAGTCATGCCACAAAACACTCAGCAACGCCATGGAACCAGAGATAGTCCATATAACATGAAGCCTGCCACAGATCACAGGCAATGCATGGAAATCAGCCTGCCACAGAACACCTGCCACAGAACACCGCCACAGAACACCGCCAGTGGCAATGAACCCAGACCTTGCTACTGAACGCAGGCCAAAGAACAGTGATCTCAGCCTGCCACGGAACACATAAAATGGCATGGAACCCATGGAGTGCCACAAAACAGGCGATGACACGTAATCCAGGCCCACAACGGGACACAGGCAATGGCACGGAACCTAGACCTCATCACATAAATCATCAGGCAAGTGGCAAAGAAACTGGATCTGCAATGAACACAGACAATGGCGTGGAACCTGGGGCCTGTCACAGAATGCCACGGAAGGGGGAACGATTCCACACCACCTGGGCCATGCCACACAGCACAGGTGAGGCCAGTCAGCTATGGCCATGCCTGGCCCCGCCTTCGCTGGAGAGTACTAACGTGGCACCACTCTCTTGGCCTGGTGGACGATGGGCACGGAAGGGGCGAGCGGTGGCAAGGGCTCTGAGTGGCAGGGAGAGAACCAAGTCGGGGGAGTCACCACCTGAGGGTCTGGCATATGAGTGCTCACCATATACACCCCAACCCGTGTGGCCCTGTTGCTTCCCCCTCAACCCTTCCAAGGTGGCACCTGTCTAGTATCCTTCACTGTGGTCTCCTGACCCTTCTCAGGGGGTAGGGGGAGGAGAGATGACCAGGACATCTCTCCAGAGCCCCACCCTCTAGCTGTTCCTTCTGCCTGTTTTAAACCTTCAGCTGGCTCCCCATCTGCCCCTGAATTTAGTGCTTTGTTTCCCATAAATCCTCAGACCCGGAATTGGTGACAATTCTCTCTGCGTCCTGGCCTCGGCGAGGGTGATTGTGAGGATGGGTGAAGATCCTTTACCTTCTGCCACATGGACGGGGAAAGGACTGCGGGTGATGGGGGCACCAGCGAAGGCCACATGCACTGTGTGGGGCCCCTCCATCACAGGCCTGTATGTGCAGCGGAACGTGCTGTCGCCCTTGTCCTCCAGGGCCACCTCCACTGTGTCCCGCCGGCCCTGCGGGTCCACGATCACCACGGCAACATCACCAGTGCCGGCCCCTACCACAGACAAAGGACATCAGCCCCTGCTCTGGACACACACAGCTGCTTGGGGCTCCCTCACCCTGAGACCACCCACCCTCTGGCTGGGACCTCTGCCCGAGTCTCCCATCCACACTGCCCATGCACAGTCAGGGGCTGCCTGCCTGACAGCCCCCTGGGCCCCATCCTTACCTGCAGTGTAGATGTCAAAGTAGGTAGGTTTGTTGGCCACATTGCCCACAGGCTCCAGGCCAGGGCCACGGGCTGACACCTTGTTGGCATCCCCAAGGGCCATGCCCACATTCACCTCAAAGGGGCTGCGTTCGATGTTCTGGCCAGCAAAGAGCACAGTCACCTGGGGGTCAGGGGTCAAAGGTTAGCTTCTAGGGGAGAGCAATTCTGAGAGGGAGTGAAGGGGCAGAGCACAGCCAAGGAGGGTGAGAGGTGGGTGGCTAGTGCCCCGGGGCGGGGCAGAGTGCCAGCTGAGAGAGGGGTCCACACAGCCAGAGCCAAGGATGTGAATGGAATGGGTAGCCCAGGGGCGGACCTGTAGGCAGATACCTTGTGCAACCCAGCAACCTTAGGCACGTAGGAGACAGCATAGGTGCGGTCCTTGTCATTGTTGGGAACCACCTTGGCCTATTGGGAAGGGAAAAGATTGGAAGTCACAGTGGCTGTAGCCACTCTTGACCCCACAGTGCCTGGTGGCCCCCGTGGTGAAGCCTCCCCCAGTCTCTAGCATAGCAGGTGGCTCTGGCAGCCATCTCCAGGCCATTCCTCTTGTTGGCCTGTGGTCTCTGGTTCCAAACCCACACTAATCCCTCTTATCCCCAGCAGCCTCTCCATACCTCCTCGGTGTGGCCCTCAGGATCCTCAATGTAGACCAGCACCTCGCCCACACCGGCATCCACGGTCTGCACGGTGAAGTGGGCAGGCTGCAGCACGGTGTTGCCCTGGGGCTCAATGCCTGAGGGGCAGAAGGCAGAGCCACATTACTTAGGGAGATCTATCCCAGCATGTGCCCAGCTGCCTGGGGAGGGCTGACAGGGGCTCAACACATACCAGGCCCATAGGCAATGGCCTTCTTGGGGTTCAGCTGCTTGGAGCGAACAGGGGCACCAGGTTTGAGCTTGGCCTTGGGGAACTGGGACAGGTAGGTCATGACAGAATGCTCATCTACATTGGGGTCCACAATCTCCTCGGGGGCAATCACCTGCCACAGGGAGGAACAGAGTTACAAGGTGCCCTCCTTAACTGGCAACTCTGGTTCTCATTCACATCCTGACCAGGTTCCTGATAGACCCAACCCCCACCCTTGGCCCTCCAGCCCCTATACTGTCCACCCACCCCGAGCACCCCCTTGGGGCACCCATTTGCCCCAGAGCAAGGGTACCTGGGGCACCCCGAGCCAGTCGTCCGCCTGCTGCATGGCCTCCCGGGCGTTCTCCACAGGCTGGTTGGGATCCCAGGCCTCCCAGTCAGGGCAGAGGCCTGGAGAGACGGTGGAGGGAGACGATGATCAGAGGAAAGCAGTCAGCCAGAATGCAGAGCATTTGTCATCCAACACCCTCACAGGCTGTGGAGTCACACCCCCTCCCACGCAGCTCTAGGCCCCTAACCAGCCAGGTTCCTGCTGACCCCTGATATTATGGCCCATCAGCTGGGATGCCCATCACTCTTTAGAGGCACGGCAGCCCTGCGTAGCACCAACAATGAGGCCTTTCTGCCCTGGCTGACGCAGCCTGGCACCAGCCCTGCCAGCCGGCCTCCTGCCTGCCCAGGCCCCAGCACAGACCCTGGACACCAGACCCCTGTGAGGACACCCCCAGACCCCTCCTGCCTCATTCCAGCTGCCTCGAGGGCAGGAGAGGAGGTGAGAGTCCCTGCCACATACGCCTCAGACCCATCCCCGAGGTCTCCTCAGAGCTGCCCTCAAGTCCTAGATCTCTAAGCCCTTCCCACATCCACCTGAGGGCATGACCCCCTCTCCTTCCTAACTGCCCACTTGGGGAAAGTAAGGATCGAAGAGCCTGTTAGGAGAGGATGGGCTCCCCTCTGTGGCACCCAGAACCCAGCCCTCCTAACAGAGGTAATGCTGAGGCAGCCCCAGATCACTCCTGCGGAGGGGTGCAGGGGTGAGGGGGTGCTTGGTCCAGGCCAGAGCTGGAGGAGGGGGCGATGCTCCATAGCGGGGAGGGGGCCGGCTCAAAGGCTGGAATCCATGACTGGCCGGAACAGCTGAGCTCACTGCTGGCAGCCGCATCAGCTACGGGCAATGGCTCAGCAGCCGGGAATGCTTCCCAGGCAGCGGCGCCCCCGCCTCCCACCCCCTGCTCTCCAGCTGACCCTGGGCTGAGGGAGGACTCTCCCAAGGGGCCATGACTCCCCAGAGGCAGAGCTGACCCACCCTGTGGGGAAGACCTATCTTCTCAGGAGGTGAGGGTCACAGGGTCGGGCTCCAGCCTGCGAAGCCTCAGTCTCCTTAGGGCCCTGAGCTGCCCCACTGACCAGGCCAGGACCTATGTTGAGAGAGGGCAGGACTGGGTCATCTGCCACTGGGCAGTGCCACACCAGCCTCAGGCCACATCATCCTGGGCCTCAGCCCCTTCTCAAAGCTGTCCCAGCGTCTCACAAAGAAGAGCCTTCTCAGGGTCTAACTCCTCGCCTTCTTGCTACCAGTCCCACTGCATCTCCTTCCTCTTGGCTGAGCAGAAGTGGTACCCATGTGACAAAACAGGAAATTCATGGAGCAAGGATTCGAGGCCCTGGGCTCTGGTTCAGTTCTGCCAGGTAAGCTGTGTGGTCTTGGACAAGTCCCTGGCCCTCTCTGGATCTCAGTGTCTTTGTTTGTAAAACAAGGGGTTCTAAACCTTTTCTCGCCACTGCAGGATCTGGCATACCCAACAGGAAGGGTCTGACTCCAGCAGTGATTCTCAGCTGGAGCAGGGGGCAAGCCCCACAGGTGGTCCTCATCCCCTAGCCCTAAGATATGCATTCTGATAACCACAGGCCTCAGTACCGCCAGCTCATCCCAGCTCTCCTTTCCAGGCCAAGGGCTCCATGGCAGGCCTGCTAGCCCACTCACCAGGGGCACAGTTGTCCACCAGGGCACCCAGAGCTTTGCCATCCTGCCAGTCGCGGTTGAAGTTAGTGATGGGCAGCTGGGGCACCTTGTTCTGGATCCAGCCAAGCAGACGCTGCTTGGGCGTCTGTTTGCGGGCATCTTCATCATCCTCATCTTCCCACATGGGCATGGAGATGGAGTAGTGCAGGATCAACGTCCAGATCAGCCCCAGGATCAGCTTCAGGTTCCCATCCACGATGGCCTTGCTGTCTGCAGAGCAGAGGGAACAAACTGGGCTCAGGGGGACCCCACGCTCTGCTGCCCAGACCCCTCTGCCCCCACAGCCCCCTCCCTCCCCTCCCCAGTTCCTGAGGCAGCTGCTAGAGAGCTGGGGTCAGGCCTCCTACCTCTGGAACCCACCTGCTTCTCTTCCTCCCAAATTCTCTCCCTCCTGCAAGGCCCAGCCCAGAGGCCACCTCTTTTATGAACCCTGGAGTGAGGCTGCTTCCCATTGTGCTCCTGTAGCGGGTACTTGCACCTCTGTCACAACACTCAAGGGGGCTTCCTATCCCTCCTATTGGGCTGTAGGCATCCATGCAATTATCTAGGATTGGAAGCCTCTTGGGGGGAGACACTGTTTTGTTTCATTTTTCAGCAGTTTTTTTGAGGTATGCTTGACATACCACGAACTGCGCGTATTAGAGAGTACAACTGGATAGGCGTGGACCATATGCAAATACCCATAAAGCCATCGCCACAAGTCAAGATAATAAACCTATCTATCCGTCCCCTAAGTTTTCTTGCGTGTACCCCTTGGTGATCCCTCCTCCACTTCTGCTTGTCCCCCCTTCCCAGGCAACAACTGATCTGCGCTCGGTCACCATAGATGAGTTTGCGTTTTCTAGACTTTTACATAAATAGAATCATACAGTATGCACTCTTTTCTGGTCTGGCTTCTTTCACTCTAGACACTGGATTTTCTCTCTCTAGACTCAGAGCCTAGAACTTAGTAGGGTCTCAAGAAATACTGGTGGAATGAATGAATATTTTAAAAACTGAAGTCGGAGAGGAGTAGGACCAACCTGGTTCCAGCCAAATTCTTCTCGGGACGCCATAAAAGGCTTTTGGAACAAAGTTCTGGGAGGAGGATGGGGGTACGGTGCATGCTCCGTTAAGGCTTGAAAATCATGTTTTCAAATGCTGGGGGCCAGCAGGATTTCACAAGAGCCAGGAGAAATGTCACCCACGTGGACTCAAGTCTCAGGAGGTGAGGCTCTGCCCATTCCCTCCTCTGAGGAATACGATGGACCAGAACGAGTTCCCTAAGATTTAGGGGGCCTAGTTCCCCTTTAACAGCCAGAAAGAAATATCCAGGAGCCGGGGGTGGCCTAGAGTATAGATCTTTGGAAACCAGCTTATTTGTAATGGACAAGCAGGCCTTAAATCCATCAGCTTCCTGGAGCACTGCTTTCAGGAGGCTGGGAGGGGATGGAAGACTCGGCCTTGTTTACTGATGTTGCCAGAGAGATGGGAAAGGGTGGGGCTGAAGGGGCCGCCTTACACATCTTTTCCTGCCCGCTCTAGATCTTGGGGGATGGGCTGCATTAGGAGACCGAGGGTTGGGGAACCCTAGAATCCCCCATCCACCCCCACCTGCCCCCAGGAGGGCAAATCTCAGTCTTTCTGTCCTTCTGGCCTTGGGCTCTGGTCCCCTTGGCTCCCCCCACCCACTTTCACTGATTCATCCTTCCTTCCCCAGCAGCTCCCCAGCCCTCCTCCTCTCCCCCTGGCTCCACTGCAGCACAATGGTTTGGCAGCTTTCAGATTCCATGACACACTCACTCCCAGCCTCCCGGTGCAGTGCTTTCTCTCTCAAACACACAGGGCCACAACACTTTCACACAGTCTTGACACCCGGTGCCCCACAGCCTCTCACGACCCTGACAGCCTCCAAAGCTGGTGCTCACACACTCAGAAGTGCTTCTTGAAAACTGGAGCCAGATCCCTGGGCGGGAGGCCTTGAGGCTGCTGGGGTGGAGGTGGGAGGGCTGGTGGGGGGTCATTCATATTTGCTGCAGAGAGAGGTCTCTCCCCGGCAACTGGCCCTGGGCCAGACAGCAAGTGGTCTGGTGCAGCCAGGGGCAGGAGAGGGGCGGGCCCAGAGTCCCACTCTGGTAGCAATGACCTTCCTCTCCCTTACCCGCCTCAGAGGGTAGGTAGAGGAGGGGAGGTCAGCTCAAGCCCAGCTTCCTCTCTCACACCCCATGAGCCACCACTTCTCTGTCTGCCTAGGGATACCCCCAAAGGAGTGGGAGGAGCCGACAGCCAGTCTCTGAGGCCACCCCAGGCCTCAAGTGGAGGGGGAGGAGAGAGGGCCAAGAGAGGGAGGTGCCGGGACAGCTGCTGCCCCCTCCAGCCCCTCCCTCGGCTGCTGGCTCAAGGAGAAGGAATAGCAACTGGGGAACAGCTGCGGGACAGAGCTGCCTCACAAGCCTCTTTGTTCCGAGGGGCTGAGGGGGTGGTAGGGGCCGGGACAGGGATAGAGGGGTAAGAAGGGCACGCAGCTCCTCAGCCCAGGCTGAGTACCCTCTCCTTCAGGTGGACTTCTCAGCTTCTACTCTACTCCTAGATATGGAAGTGGGGAGTCTTTCCGACCCCCCTCCCAAGTGCCCAGATGCTCAGTTTCAGTCCAGAGACAATACCCAGAGGAGGCCCCCTAAGCAGCCCCTTCCCACCTCAAGTGGGACAGAGGGAACTAGAGGAAGCAGGATGCTGCTTCTGGCGAGGAACCCCTTTACATGTTGTCAGGGTCAGGCAGCCCCTGCCGCCTGTGCCCCCTCCCCTCCAGCCTCAGCCTCGGCCCAGCAGCTGAATTGCTGACAGCTTATCTCATCAGCGCGAGTGAGCCACTTGGCCCAAATGGGGAATGGCTCCCCTTCCTCTCAGCGGGAACCGAGGAGCTTCCCTCCCGCCCCTAAACCAGCTTTTGCTTCTTCCCCCGCTACTCTGAGCCGGCCCCTCCACAGTTGAGCCAAGGGGCTGGAGCCAGGCACCGCCATGGGGGAGGGGAGAGGTGCGTGCAGGAAGGATGAGGCCTGGAGAGGGGCTGAGTGCCCCCACAGCCGGGAGGGGAGGGGAAGGCTGAGTAGTTTCCTATAAAGTCTTGGTGAGGCCCTGGCTCTCCCCTTGGAGACCCCACCTGGGACAGTCAGTCCTGTCTGTCAAATCCAAGCGTGCAGGGGGATGACAGCCCCAGGGCTGACTGTGTCTGACCCCCCCTCCACACACACACACACACACACACACACACTCCCACTCAGAGCCCTCTGCCCCACTACACATACCAGGGCCCCCTCCCCCATCCCCTGTCCTCAGGCTTGTCCTTCTGGAAAGCTCAGAGACATCTGCTGTGTCACGGAGGCAGGGCTATTTCCAGGCCAGAGAGGGTGGGGTGGGGGGGCAGTACTGGAGCAGGAGGAGGTAAGGCCCAGAGAGGGGACTGGACAGGGCAAAGGGCCCTGGACTGACCTCAGCTGCTAATTCAGGAGGCCTAGCGATGCCCTGGGGGAGAGTGGGGGTGGACAGACATTCAATTATCTGGAGAAGTTTCTGGGGCAGCCTAGTGGGGGAGGCACCTGACCCCATGTGAAACTCCTCTCCTGTGGCCCTAGGGTGCATCCCCCGAAAGGCCTCTCTGGTAAATCACAGCAGGACTCTTAGGAGCTCAGCAGACGGGTAGGGGGTCTTCCCCAAGCCCCCAGCCTGCAGAGACGACTGCAGGGCAGTGAGGAGAGGGGCAGCCTCTCGCCACTGGGAGCCCACCCTCTGCTCCTCGGCTCTCTAGCCTAGAGTACCTCCCCACCCCCACCCAACACTGACACACCTTCCAAATCTGGTTACACTCAATGACTTCCTCCCTTCTACAGGCTTCCCCTCCCTCCCCTCAGCCCGGACCGTTAGCTGCAGCCAATCCCGGCTTAGGGGGTGGGTTGGGGCCAGGCGCGGACGAGCGGGAGCCCCCTCCCGGGAGGCTGAAGCGGGAGGAGGACAGGCAGGGGTTAAGGCTCCCTGCGCTCGCTCAGTGCCTTTTTAGGTTTCTGAGGCTGGGCGCTGCCTGCCCCGGCCCCCGGGCCTGAACCCAGCTGCTGAGCACATGCCTGCCCCGCCACCAACTCTCCCTCTACTCAGAGCCCTTGGATCAGGCCGTGGTTGGGACCTGCCTTCAGCACGCTCCTCCCCTGTGGAGGTGCTGGGAGGCTGGGAAGCCATTTGCTTTGTCTTGGGGGGAGATGCCCCCAGCAATCACCAACGGGCACTGACCCTGTCCTCTCAAGCATGGGCTGGGTTGCCCGATGGCAGCAAAGGGGACAACGAGTAGAGGCGGGTTGGTGGGAGTGGGTAGGGGGAGGCTGAAGCTGGAGGACTCAAGAACAGTAAGGTCTGGTCCCCCGGCCCCCTCCGGGATGCTGGCTCTCCTGAGCGGGGTGTGAAGGCAGCGCCCGCGTGGCCTGCGTCAGAGGGCGGGAGAGCCGGGCCAGGGTCCTCTCCCTGCGCCGGGCGCCGCGCTCTGCCCTCTCTCAGCTCCCCGCGCCCATCGAGCACCTGTGTCCCCTGCCCCACGGGCCAGCCCAGCCCCGGGGCACTCTCGCCCTCCCCGCCCGCACTGACCGATGGACACAAGCTTGATGTGCTCGCGCTCGAGGAACTCGAGGGCCACGGACACGTTCTCCAGCTTCATCTGGCGGAAGTTGGGACGCGGGTGGAACTTGCGATACATGCGCTTCTGGCTGAGCACCTCGAGCAGCGCGATGAGGCGCAGCCCGTCGCTGAGGTCTCGCTGCAGGTCGGTCAGGCGCTTGCCCACGCACTTGAGGTGCTCGTTGCACCAGCGCGTGAACGTGTTCTGCTGGATCTTCTTCCACGGCGCGTCCTCCGCCAGGTCCTTCTCCGTGGACGGCATGTCGTCCGCCTCGTCGCCCAGGCCGAGGCCCGCGGGCTCCGAGTAGCCGCTGTTGTTCATCATGCTGGGGCTGGGGCGCGGGCTGGCTTGGCTGGGCTGGGCGCTCTTGGGGCGCTGTCGGGGCGCGACGACGGGGCTCGCAACTCTGCGCTGCGCTGCTCTCAACTTCTCTCGCGCCCGGGCTGGCGGGTCTCGGCGGGCCTCCTCGGCTCCTCGGCGGCGCGCTCTCTCTCCCTCCGGGGGCGGAGCGGTGCTGGGGAAGTGCGGGCTGGGCCGGGGCGGGGGGTTTAAGAAGCCCCCGGGCCGCGCCCCCCCCCGCCGCGCCCGCGGCCCCCGGGTCCACGTCAGAGCGCCGGCCTCCCAGGAATGCCGCCCGGGCCGCGGGTGGGGGCCGCGCCGCCTGGCCGCCCCGCCTCCTCCTCCCCTCCCCCACGCGGCCGGGCGGCGGCTGGGGGCTCCCGCCCCCGCTGGTCTGCGGCCAAGGGGGGCTCGGTCCCTGGTCCCTGGTCCCCGGGGCCGCCGCGCTGGAGAGGTGGATAGCGGAGCTGGAAGGTGGGAGGCGAGGGCACCCAACACTCCAAAACTAACCATTGCCAGTCAGAGATGAAATATGCCCCCTCCACACCTCGTGGGGCTAGAGATAAATAGGGAAACTGAGGCCAGTGCTTAGGGCCAAATACACTGATCTGGTGTTGACAGAATTTTCTGTCTGAGTTGGTGGCAGGGCCGTTGACAGGGCCTAGGAGTCCTGGCTCCTAGCCCAGGGTATTGTCCACCTGCGGACAGGGAAGGGAAGTGTGTGTGCTTGTGTAGACGACTGAGAGGAAGTAGGGACACAGTGCAGGCCGATTAGGGAGAAAGGCTGGGGGGTGGGCGCTGCTCCATTTACAGGTAAAAAGCCTCACTTGAAGCCCAATCTCAGGGACCCAGGGGAAAGACTAGGCTGCCCCTGACTCAGTGTCCCTGTCACCAGCCCGTTTAGCCTCATCCCCTCATAATGAAACTGAGTTTAGGAAAAGAGTACCCAGTGAGTCACACTGTGCCCCCCTCCCTCAAGTCTGACTCAACCAAGGTGATGAGATGGGAGAGAGAAACTCTGCCCCAGAGTACCAGGGAGCCCCCTGGGCATTGTGCCCATTTGGGCCACAGGGCAGATCCTTCCAGCAAAAGGGCCAGTTAGCCAGACAGAAACAGGGAGAGCCCTGCCCAGAGCAGCCAAGGGGAAACGTGACAGGGGCTGGTGGTCAGGGAGAGCCTGAGGGAGCCAGCCAGGAACCTAGGCAGGACTGAGCTCAGGGCAAGCCAAGGGCGGCTGGAGGCCTAGGGAATGGTGACAGAAAGGAAACTGAGGCACTCAAACAGAGGAGCTGGCCTGGGATGGGGTGTAAGAGCTATAGACTATACTTATATAAGGAGAATATGCATTCTGCAATTCTGTAGTATACGTGTATTCCATATATCCTGGTACCCCCTTTAGGCCAAACTTCCTCAGCTTTCCTCTCCTTCTAGACCCAGTAAGTTTGGGCCAAACAGCCCCTCAAGCTGTGTGATGGCTGAAATTTGGGAAAGTTCTGAGACCTTATAGGTGAATCATTCTACCTTATTCCTCTTCTCCCCTCAGGCCCAGTGCAAAGGAAGGGGATAGTGGGCATCTTTGAGGTCTATCTCCCCAAGAGCGAAATGAGGGCAATCCCCCTTATGGAGCTCAGAAAGAAGTTCAGGGGTTTTGCGGGGGATAGTGCTTATGGTGAAAGGGGTCCATGAATGATTTCTTTCCCTTCTCATTAGGTAGAGAGGGGGAGGAGTAGAGAAGGGACCAGAAACAGAAAAGGGACCTGCTGTGCATGCCTTGTTGGGGGGGAGCTCTGGGGGCCCTGATAGTGACAGGCGAGGTATAAATAGCTTGAGCCCTTCGGCTCATGTTCTGTCGGCTGCCTGTGACGAGGTGCTCAGGAATTCCACTCTCTTATTGGCACCCCCCTCCCTATCTCCAGAACTCTCATCCCCCCATGCCACCTTTGTCCCATGGCCAAAACCAACCATCAGGCATCAGTGCTGTCTGTCTACTTGAGAGGCTGAACTCTCCGGTGGAGACATGCCCAGCTCCTGGGGACACATGACACATAGCTGGGTCTCACAAGGGAACTCTGTGTGTGTGTGTGTGTGTGTGTGTGTAAAAAGGTAGATTTTTGGCACCCAGTCTAAGGTGCCAGGGTTCAGTGATGTTGTCTTTGAAGCCCTGATGAAGAAACTGAGGTACAGCTCTGAGGAAGAATTCATTCCTTTCCCTGAGCTGTTGGGGAGGAGAGAAAGGGATACGGTGGGTTTGCTTGGAGCTGACAGCCCCTTTACAAAGCCTAATGGCTCACAGTCCTGTTTTGTGGGCCTTACCTGAGGTCCCCCAGTCAGTTGAGGGCCTCTGTTAAGTTCAGAGGGAAGCCAACAAGTGGAGACAGAACTCCCGCGTCCAGCCTCCCCTCTCCCCCTTGGCAATCCCTATCTCCAGGAGAAGTCTGTGTGCTGGCCCTAGGGCTGCGAGTGAATGATTGGCAGAGGAGTCTGCCCAGTGCCAAGGATGGTTCCCGGCACCCTTCTCACTCCCCTCCCCCAGAAACTGGAGCCTGTTGCTCTCCAGGATAAATCGGGGCCTGACTCAGGCCGCAGCCAGCCAGTCACAGACAGCCTGACCCAGGCGCAGGTTGGTGACTCAGTCCTCAATATAGCCCATGAGCCCAGAGCCCAGGCCCCAGGCCTGGCCATGAGGGCTGGAACAGACCGTGCGCAATGCTGGTCCTGGGGCCTGCCAAGTGCGGCCCCCTCCCTGAGGAGGGCGGATGTGTTCCTCCTCAGGCCTGGCAGGGGCACATAGAGGGGCTTACAGGGGGTTTCATCAGCTGAGTATTTGGGGTAGTGGTGGCTAGGGCCATAGGCCGTTTATAGCCCCCTGACTCACCACTGGCTGACCTGTCTCAGGAGACCAGGTTGCCTGGCCTTTCACCTAGCCCTGCCTTTCCCATCAAGGGGCACTGCTCATCAGCCACTGACATTGGCCATATTTAACTCGGGCTGAGCAGAATCTGAGTGAGTGAGTCCAATGGGCCATGTTTGAAAATCCTGTTTTTCCTGGAGCTAGGGACCTTTCCACAGTCACCTGTGATGATACCTGGCTGGCCAGACTCACAGCAGGTGCTTTGATCAATCATTGGTACTGACTGTGGCCCTGACCCAGGTGCCAGGGACAGTGTGGGAAGTGTGGAAAGATCCACAGGCTGAATTCAGCCTCTTCACGCTGGTTCTGTAATCTTGGACAGGTAATGTAACTCTTTTGGGCCTCAGTTTTCTCATCTGTAAAATGGAATTAATAGTACTCTCATAGGGATTTTTTTTTTTATGTGTGAAGATGAAAGGAGATAACATGTAAAATGATTAGCATTTTACATGTGCCTGGCAGCTAACAGGTGATCAGAAAAAAGTTAGTTTGCTTTCTCTGCTGGTATCTTGGGGACGACGTAGGTTCTGGTGAGCTAGGCCTTCCTAACAGTTCTGTCTCCATCCCCTGTGGAGTCCACTGCCAGGATCTCCTCTGCGCTCCCCTCTTCCCTTCCCTGCATCCCAATACTCCACCTGCCAGAATCAGAATCAGGGTACTTCTGATGTTTAGAACCACCCACCCTGCCCCCCAATAGCAGCTGGTCTTTGACAGGAGTGGCAGGTGGCGTGGTGGTGTGCTCTACCATGTGGCCGGGGAAGGGAGAGCAGAGGGGGCTGTTGTGCAGAGAGAAAGAAAGCAGTTATGTAGAGGGCAGTAGAGGGAAGACCCCCGAAGGTGTTTTGAGTCCTTGTTTCTATCTGTACCTCGGCCTGGGGATGTGCCTACTTGTGGCTCCTGAGAGACACCCCTGTAGACTTAGCGCTAGCTCAAGTGACTGCTTCACATTCAACACAGAAATCTCTTTCGTCTACGCTGGTAACAGTGTACCAACAAGACTAGGAGGCACAAAGCCCAAACCAGTGAAGAGGATGGTGACCTAAAATGAGACAACAGGGGCAAGTGTCCTAAAGAGAAGAGTTCTGTATTCTAAGCCAACAGACCACATTCCTGTCACTGCCCAGGCTCTAGGTTTGGGTCTGGGAAGGACCAGATAGAGTCCCGAGATGGGGCCGACTGCCTACCAGACTGTGACCTCCATCTTGGCTTCTAAATCCAAGTCAAACCAGTGATCCTCAGTGGTAGGTGATCTTCCAGTACTTTCCACCACATATATTCTCAGCCAACTGGTGGCCAGAGTAAAGTGGATAAAAACCATGGTCTCACTATACTCAACAGCAAGGGCCAGTGGCCAGGTGGGTTGTGAAGGAATTTCTTCAATTAGCTTACGACTGAGAACACACAATCCAATAGAACTGAGGGTAGTGCTTCTCAAATTGGGTTGTGTATACTGCTCAACTGGGGATCTTATTAAAATGCAGATTCTGTGTCAGTAGGTATGAGGTGGGGTCTGAGATTCTGCCTTTCTAACAAGCTAACAATGCTGAAGCTGCTGGTCCTTGGACCACACTTTGAGTAGCGAGGGGCTAGCCCCACCTAAATCAGTGCTATCTTCAAAGACGAGCCATTTAGAGGGAGGCGAAAGGGATGTGTGGCATTGCCCTCAATCTGCCTAGGTGCAGCCCTATTTATAGGGGCTGGTCACGATTTCAGCACTGGCCCCAGGCCTGCTAGGATGCACTCCCAGTTCAGCCTTGTCACTCTTCTGGGCTGCATACAACTTTAAAATCTCCTAATTCTACATGTCCTTGCTACTCCCCCTCGGAAAACGCTGGAGAAGAAATGAATCCATTTAGTGCTTAGCAGTGCCCACCACTGTACACACCCTAGAGGTATGCTTTGGATATTTGGGTGAATGAAACAAACTCCTTTGGTATCAGGTGGAAAGGAGGAAGGGAGAGGGCTCCCAGGAAGCTAGCAGTCATGGGGGCCATTCTGTCCACTGTGGCTTATGAATACACTTGGGGGCGTTCATAGGAAACATTCATGATGAGACAACCAATCACAAATGGTTCCACAGGAATGAAGATAAAAAAAGGACACTTGTAAATTATCCTCATCATTCTGCTTGTCCCCACTTAGATCCATTCTCAATCCTCTGCCTCTGCTCCAGAAGGCTGACCTTGAAAGGTTATGTCACCTGGGCACCTCTGCTTTCTGGCTCCCAGCGGGGGTCAGCCAAGGAGAGGTACCAACAGGAACCTGGGCGGTGGGA